TCCCTCTATCAACTGGCGCACTGGAGATATCACCTTTAATCGCTGTCCACTTGCTTGCTGTGCTACCTTTGGAGGAGAGATATCACATGAGCCAGAAGATGAACCTTGTAAGGAGAAGCGAAAAGTTGAGCAGTTAGAAGACGGAGATCGCATTTTTGTCACTAAGTTTGAGGTCGAGACATTGGAAGAATGGCAGTATTGGGAGAAGGCTAGAAGATGTGAAAAGATTAGGGCTGTGGAAACACGCTCTCAGAAGTTGGCAGAGGAGGCACTTAAGAAGGGGACAAAGATGTCATTGGAAGAATTACTTCCCAAACACCTTGAAGATTTTACGCCGGTGTTTGAGAAAGCCTCATTTGATCGCTTACCTGAACGACGTCAGTGGGATCATGCTATTGAACTCAAACCAGGCATCGAACCTTTCAATAGCAAGATTTACCCGCTAAGTCTCGTTGAGCAAACTGAACTCGACAAGTTCATTGAAGAGCATCTGCACACAGGACGAATTCGACCTTCGAAATCCCCTATTGCTTCCCCATTCTTCTTCGTCAAGAAGAAAGATGGCTCTTTGCGTCCTGTACAGGACTATCGCAAATTAAACTCAGCTACCATCAAAAATCGGTATCCCCTTCCTCTGATTTCCGAAGTAATCCACAAACTCTGCAACGCGCGATATTTTACCAAGCTCGATGTTCGATGGGGGTACAATAATATCCGCGTCCATGAGGGAGACGAGTGGAAAGCTGCGTTTACAACAAATCGGGGACTCTATGAACCATTGGTAATGTTTTTCAGCCTCACAAACTCACCAGCTACCTTTCAGACGATGATGAATGATTTATTCCGAGATCTCATTAGCCGTGGAGTGGTGATTGTTTACATGGATGACATTCTCATCTTTACCGAATCCTTCGAAGAACATCGACGAGTCACACGTGAAGTTCTTCAAATCCTTCGTGACAACCACTTGTATCTGAAGGCCGAGAAATGTGCCTTTGAACAGAGGGAAATCGAATATCTCAGACTCGTTATTCGTCACGGCGAGGTTTCTATGGATCCAGTCAAAGTGAAGGGTGTACAGGAATGGCCTCGACCTACTATGAAACGCGAACTCCAGCAATTTTTAGGATTTGCCAACTACTATCGCTGTTTCATTCAAGGTTTCGCTCATATCGCTCATCCTCTTCACCGCTTAACTGGTAATGAACAATGGCATTGGGGAATAGACAAAGAAAAGGCATTCCAAGGCCTGAAAACTGCTATCACCATGGCACCCGTACTTATCCTACCCAAAGACGATGCCCCGTTTCGTGTCGAAGCTGATAGTTCCGACTATGCTACAGGAGCAGTACTCTCCCAACTCCAATCCAATAATCATTGGCACCCTGTCGCATTCCTTTCGCGTGCACTATCTGATGTCAAGCGCAATTACGACATCCATGACAAGGAACTGCTCGCTATTATGCGGGCTCTTGCTGAATGGCGACATTATTTGATGGGTGCGCAACAAACCATCGAAATTGTCACTGACCACAAGAATTTGGAGTATTTTACTTCGGCAAAGAAACTAAACCGTTGTCAAGCACGTTGGGCCTTGGAACTCGCAGAGTATGACTTCCGACTTACCCATCAGCCGGGGGAAGCCTGATGCCCTCTCGAGATGAGCAGACCATGGACGGGGGGAGGAAGATAACGAAGATCGAGTTTTATTGAAAGAGGAATGGTTCCGAGCAGTAACAATGGAGATAGAGATGAAGGGTGATGAAATCTTGTCGAAGATTCGCACATCGAAGAGGGTTGAGAGGTTTGTAAGAGAAGCAATAAAGAAAGGTGAGAGAGGCTGGAAGGAACAGAACGTATTGAGGTTGTGGAAGAATCGTATTTATGTGCCGAATGAACAATCCCTCCAAGATCAGATCATCCACTCTCACCATGACCTGCCTGTATCCGGTCATCCAGGGCGCTACAAAACGGCAGAGTTAATCTTGCGGACATATTGGTGGCCACAAATTCATGCGGATGTAACACGTTATGTGAGTGGCTGCGAGAAATGTCAACGTACTAAGACCTTTCCCGCAAAGCCATTCGGATTACTCGCACTTAATCCAGTGCCAGAGCATAACTGACAGTTCGTATCAGTGGATCTCATAACTCAACTTCCCCAAAGCAAGGGAAATGACGCCATCCTCGTTGTTGTGGACCGACTGTCCAAGATGACACGTCTCGCACTGACAAATGGAGAGTTGACTTCTGAAGGTCTTGCACGTTTGTACCGAGACCGGGTATGGCAGGATTTCGGTGTTCCTGAACGCGTCATCAGCGATCGCGGCTCTCAGTTCGTGTCTAGCTTTATGCACGACCTCAATCAGTTGCTCGGGATCCAAACCAATCTATCCACAGCATATCATCCACAAACTGATGGTCAGACCGAACGGATAAACCAAGAAATCGAGCAATATCTTCGTTTATTCACCAATTACCGTCAGAATGACTGGGCAGAGTGGTTACCCCTCGCCCAATTTAACTATAATGACAAAGTGCAAACCTCCACTGGATATTCCCCCTTCTTCCTAAACTACGGTTGTCATCCTTGCAAAGGAATTGAACCCCGCTCTAGTGTGAGGGCAGAAAGCGCGGACGTCTTCGCTTCGCGAATGCATCATCTTGCGCAGGAAGCCACTAGCACCTTGACAAAAGCAGTGAATGACATGAAACGTTATTATGATGAACACCGTCGTGAGGCTCCTGAATATCAGCCGGGAGATTTAGTTTACTTGGAGGCCACCAACCTTAAATCTGACCGCCCTTCGAAGAAGCTCGATGATCGTCGTTCTGGTCCTTTCAAAATCATTCAGAAGGTTGGAGAGCGAGCCTACAAACTGGATTTACCTCGCACTTGGAAGTGGATCCATCCAGTGTTCCACACTGTTCTTCTTCGTCCCTACACACCACCAACTTCCCCATTGTAACAATCGCCGCCGCCGCCGTCACCAGTAGATCTCGGAGGAACCCCAGAATATGAAGTTGAGAATATATTGGATAGTTGAGAGAGACGTGGAAGAAGAGAATATTTGGTAAAATGGAGAGGACAACCAAGAGAAGAGAACACTTGGGAGCCGGAGCAAAATTTGTAGAATGAGTACGGAGCCAACGAGGTGTTCAAAACTTTCCTGGCGCATGAACGAGAACGCCTCAAAATTCGTATACCACCTCGGGGAGAATGGAGATATACGATGCCGAATCGAGGAGTGTACGATTGGAGGATAGGGACATTTAGAGAGATCGTCGATGAGGACATCGACCTTGGGAGAGGGTAATGTGATGAAAAGGCATAGCCCAAGGACTAGCGGGCCTTCAATTTGGTTATGATGCGCGCCACCAAGAGTCTCGTTCCTTGTTTTCGACCTTGTCTATCTTACCATCGCAGTTCTGTAATAACAATATTATCCTATTCTCCTCCTCAGATCTTTATCTGAGCCCCAATAGCAGACTTAGGGTGTTGCTGACAGATGTGAAGACACGCGAACTTGTCGCCACTCTCAGAGGACACACAGGTTCAGTGATGTGCCTGGCTTGGACCCCAGATGGAAAGACACTTATCTCCGCCAGGTCAGCCGATTGCTCGATTAGGACATGGAATATTTCAAACTGGAAGCAGATCGCTGTGCTCGATGGGCACACTTCCTATATCTATGGCATTGCTTAATATCTCCAAATGGTCGCATCCTTGCAAGTGCATCCTGGGACAAGACAGCCACTGTGGATAGTAGTTCCAGTGAAATTCATTGGGTTAAATCATATGATAATGGTCTGAAACTCAGAGCATTAGGTGCTGAAATTGCTGTTTTTTAATTTACTCTGAAAAGATACTCTGAATTTATGTTAGAATGACAAGCAAAACTGTTGAACCATACCCTAGGAACATCGCTTAACCCAATTTACCTATCATAGGTCATAGGTTGCAAATGGCAGGAATTGAACCAAAGACCTCATGTTGATAGGTGCAGCAATCTAACCACTAAGCCATAAGCCCTATACAATGTGTACATGGTGACACCAATATATACCAAAACAATGTCATAACAAAAATGTGAAAATTCGGCACTTGAACTATATATGTTGCGAAGTTCCAAAAATTAAATTAAATAAAATAAAATAAATCGGGAGGAGGGAGGAAGGGGGGAAGGATGGCTTAAGATGTACTTACACCTGAACATGCTTCGATATTTCAAGAATGCTGATTACAAAGAACGACATCAGGTCTGATTAGGCTCTCAATTATGATGCGAATGTCATAAACACTGAGAGCTGAGGTTCCCCGGAATCCATCAAATCTGGGTAACTACCCCAATACTAGCTACTACCTTCCCACTCTCTTCAACTCAACCACCTCATTCAACCCATCATTCTCTACCTTCAGTACCACTGTCAGAAGGCACAGGTAAGTTCAAGTTGACCTGCCTAGTACCCATGCTCGAGGATGACTGAGCATCTGCGCTTGTTCTGATGGAGCCAGTCAGACATGCAGTGCACTGGCAGCGCGCGCGAGTTTACTGTGCGGAAGACTGCTGACTCAGAGCTCGAGCCAGGATATAGCACTGGCGCCAGTCTCGGAGGGTGCAAATACATGCCAGTGTAGTAGGGTGGCAGTGTTTACGGTGTGTGGTACTGTTCTATGTTTGTAGCTGCCCGCTCGACACTGATGTATTTACCCAGGTGCTTGTTTCGAGTGGCGACTGGGCAAATGTGCTTCCTGATCGGGGCTCCGACGCCGGCTGTGCATTCGTGTGTGGTGTAGCGTGACTTCCAATGTTTTGTTGCGGTGTGTCAAGTCTCTGCTGGCTGTTGACGTTCAACTAAAAATTTTCCTCATCATTTCTTTGATAGCACTTGAGCATAAAATGCTTACTTGTTTGTATTTGCAGGGCCGGCTCTTGAACGCTCCTGGACAATCAGATTTGTGACACTTTTTGCATGTCCTTTGTGCGCGCTGTTTCACTCTAACAGGTGCAACTGCCTCTTCTTCTGCAGGCTTGCTTTTGTCCATGAGGTCCTGGGAGTGCAGGGTCGCTGTACTGCAACTGCAGTAGGGTCTGGCGGGAACTATTCCAACCCAGCATCACGCTAATCTGCCAGTCAGTTGGCTCCTCGCTTGCTGATGCCTGACGGCCATCAACTTGTTTGGCTACCGTCTGACGTGGAGCCGGTGCAATTTCAGGCATTCCAACTGGTGCTGCGAGAAGCTTTTGCAACTCCAGGTAAGCGCCATTGTTCTGCTCGACTGAGTTATGCTCATTTTGATGCTCATTCCAGGTCTTATAATATGACTTGAGTTGTTCAGGAAGCTTTGCGAAAGAAATGAGCGGGTGGATGACTGGCAACAGATGGTGCTATACGCACCTTATAAAATATGTGAGTGCCGTTTGCATGATGCTGCCACTCCTGTGCAAGAGCTACCCAGTTTGGCTGCTTCCGCCCTGCAAACTGACCTGTGACACTCTTGATGAGTAGGCGGTACAAAGCCTTCTCCTCCACAGTATGGATCGGCAGAATAGCAACAAGAGTCTGCTGGTGCCTCGCCAGGTATTCATGCTTTATCTTACAACCTTTTGCATAGTCATCTCGATACTGACTCATTCCTAGTTTTGTGCGAGTGGCTGCAGCAACAGGTAGGATGCCGAATGACTCGTTCGCAGGCTCGAAATCATTTCCATTGAGCCAAGTCGCCTGACCACACTCCTGGTATGACGGCCGCACCACACTGGCAGTAATATCCACAAGGAGTGCAATCCGGTTGTGAGTCCAGATGTCATAAGAGCCAAGATAGATTTTTCCTGTTCGATTCACAGTGCCAACCTGTAGCAATTGAGTACAATGTTCTAGTAGTTGATAATGTTAAGCACACCTCGAGATTATGTGTTAATGTGTAGTCGTGAAGTAAATTCACAGTCAACTGGGGTGATGCATTGAATGAACCAAATCGTCGGATGATGTTCTGATGAATCCCGCCCTCGACATTATCGGTTCCACGTGAGCATCGATAGATGTTGAGACCGAGCTTGTCCGTTCTCTGCAAAGTGTAGAAATGGTGACCTGGGGGATCTGAGTAGTAACCTAATTTAATGTTCTCAATGACTAGACGAGCTTTCTCCCATGATGCATCATTGAAAAGAGGCTGGCCAGTCACGGCATCCTTCAGTGGGCCATAGGTCTGCAGTACTTCAGTGACACGAGGTGCCAATATCTCTGGAGGTGGAACCAGCCGCTTGATGCACTGCCACACCCAGTCTGAGTTGGTAAGGACCATCTGGCGAAAACATGTATTCTTCTTTTTCAGCACTTCTTCGACAGCAGCAAGATCTACAGGGTCCGGTAAGAATATGGCATCTCAAAGGGCACGGCTGAAAGGATGGCGGAGGCCATGGTGAATGGAAATTTTAAACTGGTCCATGAGGTGCCAGATATCCCCAAGAACTCGAGAACGTACTTCATTGCTCTCAATGGTGACATTACGGGAAACAAGTTCCGCAAGTGATTCAATCTGAGAGAGCCCATGCAGGTCCTTTTCTGCATCACTGGCCAACTGTTCAGGGACACCAGAATCTCTGTCGTGTGATAACCACTCGCCAACATCCGAGTCTATTGTAGGCTCCGAGTCCTCGATTTCGTCAACTTGAAGATAAGGTGAATCATGAGGCTCGTATGGTGATGATGGGAGTATTGTGGTGCTATTCTGCGGTGTTGTCTCACTGGTTCTGGTGCATGTTCGAAGATCCCGTTGATAGCATAGCAGCGGGAAGGGTGATTTAGTGGCAAGATTCGAAATCGGGGTTTCTTGATGGTTAGGTCGCAGATCTGCTCGAACAAGATAGGCAGGGACAAGGATGGACGTCACAGTGATAACAATACGAGTTTTTGATACATTTACCCCATCCAGCTGTTTTGGCTGGTGACGAGCTATGTGGCCATATGCCACTGCAAGTCCTCCATTTCGTGACATGAGCTGAACCTGGGTGCCGACTGGCGTGGACAATGTCACTGGACCACAGGAAGGGATAGCCGAGAAAGACTCGAAAATAGCTGAAGCTGCATAGACGTCCAATGCGGCATATTTCTCTTGCTCTGGTGACAGCACAGGATCATCCCACTTTGTGCTGACTCGAATAGATGCGTCCTTTGGCAGATTTCGGTGAAGCACAAGTGCTGTTAAGTCTGCGAGGCTGATGTGCATGTGATCCATCACATTTCGATCCTTGGCCATTGACCCGAGTTCGAGAGCACCAATGAATGGCTGTTCATTCGTGGAATCAGCAAAGCCACAGTCCTTGTATAGGCGAGTTAAGTCTGCTTTGACTTGGACACCAATTTTGCGGACTCGTTTCGAGCGCAAGACTACCAAAAGGGATGATGGCAGCTTCAGAAATCCATTATCTTGCACATATTGACTGATCTGTGATTTTCAGTGAGAAATGATAGCATAGTTTTGCAGACCATGAAGCATACCGGAATAAGGTAGATGGCCTTATCATATGCCAATGATACAAGGGAAACTCTGCCGTATATTCCTGTCTCTCGGTCTACTGGCCACTCCAGGTCAAATGCAACATGCAGCTCCTTTTCCGCATCAACTCGTAGCTCATCCATGAGGCAATTCATTCGGTTATTGATCTGATAGGTTGTCCCAAGACGACATACATGCCAACCATCAGGTACTACTAAATCCTCCAATCCTGAACTTGGAACAGGATTTACACTGTATAGAAGACTAGGAAATGCTCTCTCGAGGGCTGACTTATCGCCGCGGACATTGTCCGTGAATAGAATCTTGACAGGTGCATGCCCATATTTCGCAAGCGTCACAGGAATCTCGGCAAGGGCAGGCATACAGTCATCATGTCCCTTCGTTGGCGTGAGTGTCATCTTGCGACACTCACCATAGTCATTGCAGGCAGTATGGAGGGCACCAAATGTTGCCACACCATTGACTTTACCGAGAATGCCTGTCACCTGTTCTGTTCTGAGTCAATAAGTCTTTGAATAAATCATGTAGACGGACCTTAAAGCTATGGTCATGACTGAGTGTTTCAGCAGACTGCATGGCCATATGTTGGTCCATCTCCGCGGCATGTCGTTCAATGAGCAAGTTATAAAGACATCGAAAAAATCGGTGCGTAGGAACATATCCAGGCATATCCACTGGGGTCATTCCAGCGAGGAAAGGGTTGATGCGGTGGCAAGAGCCCAGATGCACTTGCTTGCATGCGCTGACGGACGGTCTCTAGGTATTGAACGTGCAACTGCTCATAATAGCGAATGGGCATCATTCGTATGTTCTTAGCAAAAGGTGATGGCCCAATACCCCTCTGAAATGAGGCTCGCAAGACACCAACCAAGTGGTCCGTCAGGCCACTTCGATACGTTAGGTGGAATGGGAAGAGGGCTGCTAGCGGTGGTGGTATGGCTTGCAAGATTGCTGGCGACCAGCTCTGAAATGTCTTCTTGCACTCCTCGTGCCCACAATAATATTGGTGTCCAATAATGAACACCAAGTGCTCAAGATCGACAACGCGCCGTGGCTGCTGCGGCCAGCCGAGAACACGAAGCATGACTGGCTGCCCCCTCTTGGACCGCCGGTTTGCATCCTTGCAGTTTGGACAAGGGATGTGCTGGAAGAGGTGGGGCAGCCATACAAAAAAACGCGGCCGGTAGAAGTCTCGGGGCTCAATCTCAAAAGGGACGACACGGGAAAATACCAGCGGAGGTGCAGTCATGGTGAACTGCCCACTCTCGTAACACACTGGTCTCCTGGTCTTTGCAATTTCAGAATCGAGACGAGTGCGGGCATCTGCATACTTGTCTGCAAGCCATGTTGGCATGGTTGCACGCGGTACCTTGGTCTTGGTACCATTGGCCGAGGAAGCATGTTCTGGCAATGGCGAATCAGGTGCTGCCGTGGTCGGAACATCTTGAATAATGTTGTTGTCATCGTCACCGATGGCAGAAAATTCATCAATCATGCACTCGAGTTCTGCATCCGCCCCGAAAAAGAAGTCGTCGTCATCGTCGTCGTCATCATAGTCACAGAGCAGCTGGTTGTCGGATTGCTTCGGTGAATTATTGCAGCTTGCAGCCTGATCTAAGCATGAGAGTTACTGTTAGTAAATACTTCTCAAATATAGTATTGATCAGTTGTACATACCTGAGTCATCAATCACACTACGAGTCTGAAGATTGCGCGCACCACTTGATGCAGGAGCAGTGCTTGGCTGCGGAACAACTCACGCTGGCTCAATGTCCGACTCTCCATTGAGGATATCTAGCATATCAATATCAAAATCAGTGCGCAAATTCATGACTTCGATGTTGAAACTCACCATGAATGACACTTGTGCTCGTTGGCGCACGTAATGATTGATCCGAGTCCGCATGGGATGACTCACGTCCAGACAGTGCGGGGCTGGTGCTCGTGCTCAATTCCGAGTCACGAGTGCATGGTTCCATTAAAGACAGAGCATATCAGCACTACAGACAGGCATTGGTGTGAAAATGACTTACCTGGCTGCCTGGTGTCACTATGATGACTCCCTGCCTCTGCAGCCTGAGAGGTAGAATGTGAAGATGCTACAGATTACACAGGATATATGTTAGCAGCAAGTTGCACATGAAGGTCACATTTCGAAGCTCACCTGGTGTGTTTCGCGAAATTCCATCCTTCCTGGGGCGTCCAACTGGACGGCCCACAGTGCCCGCATTGGGTCCATTCTTTGACCCTTTCGGACGGCCGCGTTTACGCTTCTCTGTCGGCGGCAGTTGAGTGGGATTCATGGTGATAAGCTCAGGTTGACCGCTATAGCGTCAGAGGTCAAGGTGCCTGCCAAAAGCAGATTGTTTGGTTGAGTTAGTGTGTTTCTCTAGGATTATATTTTCAAACTCAGTTAACATCTAATTGCGCTACAACTATAGTTCAACCGCCAATTAAGTGACGGTGCCAGGTCATTCAATTATCGAGCTCCACAGCAGATTGATCTCCTGAGCTAAAATGCTAGTAGGATTGGAGTATGGTGCTGAATTCTGATTCAGTATATTTTCCACTGAAATTCAAAATCAGCGCTCCAATGAAATTAACTGCATGCAATTTCAGTGGAAGTTACTCTGAAATATTCAGCATCAGCACATTTTCCAGTGATTTTCATTGGAACTACTATCTACAGTGCAGCGCGATTATGGAACCTCGACGACAGCAAGCCCATCGGTTTGCCCCTCAACCATGCAAATATAGTGACCGTCGTCTCGTTTTCAGCAGATGGAAAGCTACTGGCCACTGGCTGCGATGACAAGAACGCGTACACTTGGGATGTTTCTGCGATAGTAAAAGAAGCCGGCCTCAGTTATCTTCTTTTGGACAAGCCCGACGAGTCGCTACTGGCTGTACGTGAAACAATAGTTCTCGTTGCATTTAAGCTTATGCATTCTAGGCTGACGCTACACGACGTCCTGTTCGTCAGCCAATCAAGGTCGCAAATTGGGTAACTCGAGGGTTTTTTCGACGACATACCTGATCGTGCTCACGTGCACGTACGTCGTTAATTATATCTCATCCAGTCCTGTTTTCATCGTCCAAATATTCTCAGTCTTCTGCACCACACCACCTCCACTCTCGATCATCACCATCGCATGGAAGCACCCTTCGTAGTCGTTTTTTATCTTTATTCCGCACCATACATTACAATGTCCACGATACGCCATCCCGACCCCGCCCTTTTCACTGGGTTCGAAATCGTCTCTTTGCTAAACCAAGCGGTGCAGATATTGAGCTGCACGAGCATCCCTCAGCAGTGATCGACGTCCCATGCGCCAAGGGCAAACGTGTATGTTCCTATCTGTCTTTTCGAGTATTAAACTTCTGATATTGTTTTCTCCGAACTCTGTCTCGCACCATGTAGAGAAACGCTTCAGCAAGAGAGAGACGGAGGCTAATCCTGAAGATTCCTACTGCAGGCAGCTTACCCCCTCCCAATAGCACCGTCACGCAGCAATCCAGCGGCACAGCTCAAACGCAGTCGTCTTCGCAACCCCATGCTGCCATCTCCACCTCCACCTCACCTCCTGTCGTTGCTACCACGACTTCGAACACTAATTCTCATGCAATGATTAGACACCCTGGTCGCTGGGCTCGTTTCTGGCTCTTTATCTGTTGCACGTCTCCTGAGTATACCGACGGTCATCATTAATCTTTCTGACGATGTACCTTGTCCTCATGATATTATCTAATCCCTCGACTACATACAATAGACGCATGACGTCGTTTAGTGCATGCTTTATGGGAGTCGCACAAATTACATCCGCAGAACCGACCGCTTCGTCCTTACATATGGTAGTTGTCGGCCACATTGCAGTAACACAGTTGTATATTATTCACACCTTCACGAAGGCAACTCCCACTGACCTTGCCCAAACCGCTATATAGACATCATTGTACACCCGCATTATTTCTCGAAGGATTGAGAAACATGCACATACTCTGTTTCCCAAGACTCAACACCCATGCAGGATTTCTGATCGTTAGTTCTTCATGTTTGTCAGCATCTATTAGATTTGCAGCGGTGGTATGGGAAGCCATAGGTGATCATTTGGTGTTCTTCACCTCCCACTAAATGACAAGTCGGGAACCAGCATAAACAGCAACCTTATTTGCATGCCACTTGAGGTTGGACTAACAGTGCGATGAATGCATTGTGGAGTACACAATAGAGAATACAGCACGCAGCACGTCATTCATTCATCGTAGACACAGATACAACAGTTGCTAATAAGGTAAAATACGAGCGCTACGATCAGCTTGGAAAACAAAGACTGCGACATCGTCTAGCATCATACGAAGGGCCAGGTGTTGCCAAGGCACATGGCAGATTTTCGAGAGACGTTACGCAGGACTGCTTAGTGATGGTGACACCGAGTTCAAATGAAAATCCCGGTGTCAAAACAATTTTTGCAGGCGATTGGGATTGTCGGTCGTAACGTGGAAGTCGTTATTGATGATATCAGCGTGTGGGAGTACGCCGATAGAGGTATCATCTGCGTCACTGATACATTCAGTGATCACGGCGAGTTCCTATCACCCACTGATTAGCACGATAGCTGAGAAGAGGCACGTTCGGGCGGTTCTGATGAGGGAGACCATGCATCGATGACAGTTGGACTGATGTCAGGTTGTGGTGGTTCACAGCTTGCTCGATTAGCTTCGACAGACATAGACCAGACGACGGGTGCGTTCGAGGAGAGAGGCAGATATGCGATCTGAGGCACAATGTGACATTGGCCAAGCGGTAAAAACGGAGATCAAGATTGTGATTGATGAAATACAAGTCATGGTCACAAATGATTAATGAGGCTTAAGCGCATCAGCTGCACAGCCTATAATACATGCTGTGAAGTAATCACGAGCATGTCATATATAAAACGTACCATCTCGAACTTCCCGTGCACTCGACTCCGACTTGACCTAAACGCCCATTGTGTCTGTGTTAAAACATATCGTAGTAAGTGATGACTTTGGACTTTGTTGAATGAAAGCTGAGACAGCGATACACTCGGTAGTTGAAACTGAGGATTATGTCTTCACACATCGTTGGGACGCAGGAAGTATCAATGATAAAGCCCTGCCAGAAATTTGGAGGACACACCAATTTGCTCGAGGGCGTCATACACTTGCCGGGCGGACAATGAATGATGACTTGTTCATGGGACGGCTCGCTGCGGATATGGAACTTGAAGAGTGGGAAACAGATAGGAGAGGACTGGCGGGACGGGGATAGCGAAGTACGGACGATAGCATTGTCTCCGGACGGGAAGAAAGTGGTTAGCGGAAGTTCGGATGGTGGAGTGAGGTTGTGGGACATGGACACAGGCAAAGTTATCGCGGAATTGACAGGACACACAAAACTTGTGCATTCTGTCTGCTGGAGTCGAGATGGTGAGCGAGTAGTGAGCGGATCCTCGGATGGGACTGTAAGGGAGTGGGAAGTGGAGAAGGGAGCGACAATCCTTGGTCTAATCAAAACTGGGCACAAACAGGTGCACGCAGTCGTCTACTCGCCAGACATGACCATGTTTGCAACTGGTGGATACGACGGGCCTCCTGATACCGAGCACCCGATTAAAATCTGGGATGCGAAGACACGCGAACTTGTCGCCACTCTCAAAGAACACACATATCCAGTGTTCTGCCTGGCTTGGACCCCAGATGGAAACACGCTTATCTCTGGGTCATACGATCGCTCGATTAGGACATGGAATACTTCAAACTGGAAGCAGATCGCTGTGCTCGACGGGCACACCGATCGTGTCCATGGCATTGCAATATCTCCGAATGGCCGCATCCTCGCAAGCGCATCCTGGGACAAGACAGCACGATTATGGAACCTCGACAACAACCAGCCCATCAGTTCACCCCTCAACCATGCAAATATCGTGGCCGTCGTGTCATTTTCAGCAGATGGAACACTGCTAGCCACCGCCTGCGATGACTACAACGCGTACACTTGGGATGTTTCTGCGATATTAAAAGAAGCTGGCCTCGACGACCTTCTTTTGGGCAGGCCCGACAAGTCGCTATTGGCTGTACGTGACACTTTCATCAACAGTTCTCATCGCACACAAGCTTATGTTTTCTAGGCTGATGCTACACGACGTCCTGTCCGTCAGCCAATCAAGGTCGCAAATCGGGTACCCCGAGGTTTTTTCGACGACACACAACATCACGCTCACGTACGTTGTTAATTATGTCTCATCCAGTCCTGTTTTCATCGTCCCAACATTCTCAGTCTTCTACACCACACTGACTTCGCCCTCAATCATCGCCAGCGCATGGAAGCACCCTTCGTACCCGTTTTTTATCTTTATTCCGCCCCATACATCACGATGCCCACGATACGCCATCCCGACCCCGCCCTTTCCACTGGGTTCGAAATCGTTTTTTTTCCAGACCAAGCGGCGCAGATACCGAGCTGCACGAGCATCCCTCAGCAGCAGTCGATGTCCCTTATGCCAAGGGAAAACGTGTATGTCCCTATCTTTCTTCTCGAATATTAAACTCCTGATATTGTATTCTCCCTCGAACTTTATCTCACATCACTTAGAGAAACGCTTCAGCAAGAGAGAAGAGGCTAATCCTGAAAATTCCTACTGCATGCAGCTTACCCCCTCCCAATAGCACCGTCACGCAGCAATCCAGCGGCACAGCTCAAACCCACTCATCTTCGCAATCCAATGCTGCGGTCTCCGCCTCCAACGCACCTCCCGTCGCGACTTCAAACACCAACCCTCGTGCAACGATTGAACACGCTGGTCGTTGGGCTCGTTTCTGGCTCTTTGTCTGCTGCACCTCTCCTGAGTATACCGACGGTAATCACTAATCTCCACGACGATCTCTCTTATTCCATGTTATCTAGTCCCTCGAGTACATACAATGAAGACCTGACATCGTCTATTGCGTGCTTTATATGCAAGTACCGAGAATTATGCAGATTACTTCCTTGGAACACCTGTTTCGTCCTTACATATGGTAGACACCTCGGGTATGTTTCCGTCTTTCGCTGATAGTCTACAGTGCTGGACAAGTAGTGTAATGAATACATTGTGTGGAGTATACAATAGAGAATACAGCATATAACACTTCATCCATCCATCGTGGAGCAGTTGCAAACAACGTGAAATATGAACACTACGGTGAACAAAGACCGACATCATCTAGCGTTGTACGAAAGCGTACGAAGGGCCAGGTTTTTCGAAGGTACAATATACAGTTACGCAGGACTGCTTAGTGAATGTGAGACCGAGTTTGAGTGAAAAGCCCTGTGTCAAAACACTGTTTGCAAGTGATCGGCATTGTCAGTCATTGTTGATAATATCAGTGCGCGGGAGTATCGCCGATAGAGGTATCATCTGCATCGTTGATATCAATATGTTCAGTCATCACGGTGAGTTACCGTCACCCTGCGCTACTGGTCAGGCAGTAGTCCAATTAGCACTGTAAGTGAGGGGATGCGCGTTTGAGCAGTTCTGATGAGGAGACCATGCATCAATGACGGTTGTACTGACATGACGTCGTGATGATTCAACGCTTGATCGATTGGTTTTGACAGACATAGACCAAACGACGGGTGCATTTGAGGAGAGGCAGATATGCAATCTAAGGCGCGATGTATCATTGGTCAGGTGGTAAAAACGGGAACCAAGATTGTGACTGATGGAATAAAAGTCATGATCAGAAATGAGGCTTGGGCGCTTCAGTGGAAGGCTATCGTGATGGATGGTCTATAGTAGCGGAGGACGGATGACGTGGATCAGCGTATGGGATTTGGCGGTACGGTAAGAGATAAGACATGGGTATATGAGCGGTAAGATCTATATCGAGCATGAGTAACATCGGTCCAAACACAGAACAACATCATGCGGTGTCCCATCAGCGCAAAGTAAGTCAACGCGTAAACGTAGGCTTACATTCAGCTGCACAACCTATAATACATCCTGCGAAGTAATCATGAAGACGTCCCATATAAAACGTACCATCTCGAACTTCCAGTGTGATCGACTCTGACTTGACCTATACGGCCATTGTGTCTTTGTGTCAAAACATATCGTAATAAGTGAGGAATTTGGAGTTTTTGAATGAAAGCTGAGATGCAGGAGGCATCAATGATAACACCCTGCCAGAAATTGAAGGACACACCAGTTGGGTCGCTGAAACGATACATTTACCGGGCGGACAACGGATGATGACTCGTTCAGCTAGCTGCAGGTCTGGAACTTGAAGAGTAGAAAACAAATAGTAGAGGACTGGCGAGACGGGGATAGCGGAATGTGGATGATAGTGTTGCCTCCGGACGGGAAGAAAGTGGTCGGCGGAAGTGAGGATGGTGGAGTGCGATTGTTGGATATCGGCACAGGTAAGGTTATCGCGAAACGGATGGAACATACAGAGGCGGTAAATCTGTCTACTAGAGTCGAAATGGCCGACGAGTGCTTAGCGGATCCGTTGATGGGATTGCGATTGACTCGGATTGAGGGTGTGGGACGTGGAAAACGGAGTCAATCCTCGGTTCAATCGAGACCGGGCACAACTGGGTGTATGCAGTCGGCTACTCGCCAGACATGACCATGTTTGCAACTGGTGGATAGCCTGCCCTCGAATCCCGATATTACTGGGCACCCAGTCAAAATCTGGGATGCGAAAACAGGCAAACTTGTGGCTGCTCTCAAAGGACACAGCCTCGGATAATTGCCTGGCTTGGACCCCGGATAGCAACACGCTTATTTCCGGGTCAGTTGATTTCTTGATTAGGACATAGATTCAAACCGGAAGTCCGCACTTTGCCTATTCGACACTCAGAACCGTGCTATATATTTGAGACTCGAGAGCCATTTTTGAGGGTCTGACGATATTAGGGGGCTTCCAGGGCCTACATTTCCTACAATATCTCCGAATGGCCGGCTCCAACGGAAGTCAGTTGAGCATAGGGGGCTAGGCGAGAGATCGGTATCAGCTGCTTAATACTACAGGAGACAGGTTGTTTAATTATAAATGGAGGGAAGTACCAGCAGCGGACTGCAAGGCAGTATATACTAGTCAAACAGTGCAAACTGAGGTGAAATTACAATCGTGTTCATTTGATGCGAACTTGACACAACAATTAATTATTAGTTTGAAGAGGGAGAGGGTTTCGAGTGCGGCGGTCCTAACCTAAACGCACACATGGACGCGTGTAACGTTCTGCAGGGGTTACAAAAGCATCATTACTAGTATTCATGTCGATATACAAGGACATCAGGAGTGCCTCCAGTTCACTGTCCAGAGCATCGCATTAGTATCTAAGCCCGAAAATTCTCTAGATCGATTCCGTTCTCCAGCTGGAAACATCCCTCGCTGAGTCCTCGCCAGTACACTGAAATGACATCTTGGATTCCCTTGGCATTAAATCGGTTCGGTTCCATTCTCTGCAACTTAAGCAGACCTATTGGCTGGGCAACGGGAAGCTTCACACCGTTATCTTGCAGTTTTCTCCTTCCCATGCTGGCAATCGCCTTGGTTTCTACTCCCACCACGTTCGAAGTACTGCATCTAAGAAGAGATTCGTATTCTCGTCACAGTTAGAGTGGGGTGGAGCTTACTAGGAATCGATGAATCTAGGATTCATTTCTAATTGTCTCCTATTTCAGCTAACCGCTGATGTCGTGGTAGGAGATGCTAGAAATTAATTTGGTCCTTACTCACTCAGATCACGGGATTTCATGTGCAAGAGCACACTTGGCTTCCTGGGACACAACCTGGTAGTCTCATTCAGGATCACAATCACATACTAAATGCTCGTCGGTAGTCGTCGCATCATTGTTGTGCGACAAGCATCCGACTCTCTAGTCATCGATCTAAACGTTGCTGTTCAATCAGCATCCCTACTCCAGCAAAAAAAGGCATTGCTTTCCAGCTTTGTTCTGTTTTCGACTGTGGCTGTAGTAAGTCCATGTGCTTGGGATTGGCAATTATCAAAGATACTTACGTGTTGAATTGTATGAACATAGCATCACAGATTTATGCTAGTCTATGTGGCTCCCAATTCTCGAATTACCAGAGGGCAGATTGGATGAACCTTGTATGTCTCAGAAATGAATGCATAGCCAAATATTTTGCACGTTCGGATCGATGATTAGCGGAACAACAATCGGGGTTCGTAGTTCGGTATTTAGGAGTTATCCGAGCCAATAACCGAGGCCCCAGGAGGCTCCTCGCTGAGCGCCAAGGGTAAATCTCTCAGCAAGCGCACATGCACGTATCGTAACCGATCAAGTACGACACATTGCAATCTGATGTGTGCCCACGGCTTCCTTTTTTATGGCGATCATCCCGGATCACCCATGTCAGCAGTAACTTCCGAGTCGTTGACTCTACAAATGCTTTTCGCATACCAAAATGAAGAAGAGATTATGCTGGAATCGATGTTCTGAACATTGTTTCTCGCCTATCTCGGTGTTGTGATTCTACCGCCGGATGCATTGCTATGCATGCACAGGCGGATTGCGAGAGGACCGTACCCGAACACGAACAGGAACTTTAAATAGCAGACGCCCAGATCTAATTTCATTTTCGATTTACGATATCACGTTTCGTAAGTAGTGGTTGACAGCTGAGCTATCATCATCAAATCAGCACGGTCCAAAGATCTGATCAAACCTTGAGCTCGTCGGGATGGTTTTGACCATATAGAGAGGTCAACAAAGGACTTGACTCCAAGAGCGTCTATTAGCAGGCGGTTTGGACGCGCGTTAGTGGCAGTGAAATCGATAAGCCGCCTGAATAAAGAAGATGTCTAGATCGGGAACCGTGTAAGGTTGGGCGTCAACGTTAAATGGGCAAGGCGGTCCAAAAACAAAGTTAGCATGGCGGGGCAGAGGATGTTATAAAAGCAAGGCTTCTAGCTCCACCTATAGACTCACTACTGCATGCAAATATGCAGCTCTGCCGTGGTGCACAAAGCTACCAGCGTCCCACAAAGCAAAGCAAAATTGTATCGCAGAGGCAGTATCGAGTCAAAGAGTGGGGCGGGTTCCAGGAACTCCGCGAAGTGATTCACTCAGTAACAGGGGAAATTCCCCAGACCAGGAGTGAAACCCTGAAGAAAGGTATGCTTGTTCTGATACACGTTTCGCTTGCATGATCGCTTATCCCCTTCACAGCTGCAGAATTGCTGCGGCGGTTATCGAGAGAACATGAGGCAATTTCCAAGCATGAGCCACTCCCATCCTTGGAATTCTCATCAGCATCACCCTATGAAATTGACGAGGGGTCTCACACGTCTTATGGTACGCATTTTTGTGTCGTCGGCGATGGGTTTTCATGGACACTCCTAGACCCTCTTGTAATCCCCAACGAGATGTGGACAAGTGCTACTGCACTATGGACAAGGAACAATAGCCCAGCGTCAGATACATCGGCGACGAGCTCGATGCTAGAGTATCAAGGCCATCCTCAGGCAGAGATTCACCATGTCATCGGTGGGGATGACTGGAATTTGGTTCAACCAACCCCTTTGCAATTTCGACAGACCTCTTCCTCCGCGCAGTGGTCGCTTGTTCAATCGGAAATTGACCAAGTCCCATACTATCACGGGTGGGAGTAAATTAGATTACACCTCGGAATTCGAGGAATCCCTGAATATTCATTTGTAGCGTATATCACATTAGTCTTGCGGATTCACATACCTTGTAGCTTTTAGTCGTACTATTTTCGTATCTATTGAACTTACATACCCTACGAGAGCGTGAATGAGACAACCACAACCGTTTGATATCCTGACTGTTCCACGACAAGTTATGCCGCTATATCGTATCAGTTACAATATCTGGATGCGCCAGAAGTAATCCAGGCTGTGATAGTAGTCCGTGTCAGGGATCTTGCCCATATCATTTGAGACATATGAGATGCGTAAAGCCTTTCCTTAGCAGGCAGAAAAGTCCGCAGGTGCGACAATAACCTCACACTATTGGGTCAAGATGTACTTCGAGTACACATGCACTACGATATGCGAGAGTTTGTATGCGCGTCCTTACCGGAGGACTAGTGAAAATGACACGAGGCAAGAATTTACTCTGATTCGCAAAGAACGGAATGAAATCACTGCAGTATTCTTGCTGCAACAATCATCTTTCCTGAATGCATCCCGAGAAGTGCGCAATACAAGCGCGCAGCTGCTGTAGCGCTAAATGGGCAAGATCCATATCCGAAATTAGGGTAACGCAAGAAGAGTGCACGAAAAACCACATGCCGTGTTGGGTTGAGATGCATTGATACCAATTGCCGTCAACCCACACCAAGAATCATTTCGTGGCTGAGCCAACTTGAAGTACCGGGAGATAAGTCAACCACACGAAGAGCGGCGGAGACGGATCGATCAGCAACCAATCACATTGAAGAACATGGGATGTAACCTTAGGGCCCTTCATCATGAGGATGTAATGCTGAGAACATGTAACAGACGCCTGCGACACCGTAACAGCTGGGAACGGCAACTTGTGATCAAGCCTGCGATGATCAGTGGCGCCACTGCGATATTTACTATTGAAGGACTTACCAACACACGAAAATCATTTCATTTGGCTTTTGCATAGGAAACCATCAACAACTTTGCTTGCAGCCGTATTCATTTGCAGGAGGCCGATCAAGCACTTTAATCCAGAATCAAAAACACCCACGCAGCGCATTGACGACGTTCGAGCGCGATTGGTCACGGTAATTTTGCTTATGTAAACGAAGTATGATAGGCGCTAGCATCAAGCCACCGTGCGCCCAACGAGCAGACAATAATGAGTAAGTTGGTTGTCCTATACAGGCCATTATAGGACTCGGAATGAAGACACTGATAAATCTGTTGCAATCGTACAACAAGGTTTGCCTAGCTCAACGCCGCAAACCGATGTATGATGGTACTAGTCTTAAACTTCTAGCTCTGCTGTAGGCAGACCAAATAGAAAAAGACTTCTTTGAAACTCAAAACTTCGTCTCACAGGCTAGCGCCAATCGAGTGAGAAACGGAATTCCCCGTACATATGCGGGATAGTGAGTTGAAAGCTCGGCTCAGCAACTAGGGTAAGTAGCAACATCGACCCACTGTAGATTTGTACTTGAATCGTGCGGGTGACTATTACTTCAATGAACATTGTTCGTTTTACAGCCTGCGAGTCATAATTAGAGTGAACGCACCTTATAGAACTATCTCTTCACTTGCGGGTGTGGAACTGCTTTTTGGCAACGGTGCGAGTGCATGCACTCTACCTCGAACGCTTGCCTGCACGTAGGTTGAAGTCACTACATAGAAGAGATGGTGTCGCCGCACCTACCCCTGCTCAAAGTGCCTGATGATGCCGTTTGATCCAGTGATAATGTTCACTCTGATCCCAAGGTTTCGAGATTTCATTGTTATTTACGGCATCGATAACAACGAATATTTATTCAGTTGTCATGCAGGAACGTAAGAATCCATTGTGTGACGCTAGCATTCTGATGAGAAGGAAGAACTCACGTGTTCCCAGTACTTGGCCTCGCGGAAAGATCCAGTTGGAACTGGCGCTCGTGATGCTCCATCACTAAGAAACTATTGCAGTTGCATCCTGGTACAAATATATTTCTGTTATCGTTAGGCGTCGCATACAGTGACTAATAGACGTCCTCGGAGGTCCGTCATCTTCGTCCCGACATATCATACACTTTACAAACCTTGGTTTTATGGGAATTTCGATCGCTAGCTTGCACAGGCACAGTATGATTGAAGAACGTTCCGGTCGCCAAAGAGGGTACCTGGAAACTCTGTACAACTCGGCTTGCAATCTTAGCTTTGACGATGTATTTCTGCATCAGCTCACACGTTCCTTATAAGTGTCTCCTTACTTTTGTATTTGTTCGGACAGAACGTGCCCTCGGTACTACACATGCACACTGCGCAATCGCTAGGCTGTGTAGAAAACACTGTTGCGTTTGTGTTTCCTGGAGTCTGATGCCTGAGATCTGATTATGAGGATTAAAAAGCAGGGGATGTGAAAATTGCCAGTTAATTGAAGTTCGAACTAAGGATGTCAGATTTTGAGTCGCGTTCGCCCACAGCTTCAAAACTTCGACTGCAAATGTCGCAAACGGACTCGTGGGAAACGTGCGCTGGCTTAGTCAGGAAAGTATAGCGCTCTTTCTCAAACGTTCGATCCCATTGATGTGCCGAAAATCCGTTGGTTTGTTGCTCTTCTACTTACAGATTTAGTTCAGGAGCCTCATAAACCGACCATCGAAGTGCTTTCGGATTACATATGTGGCCTACCTTTGAAGCGCCGTCCATCGATAAACCGCTGCTCACGTTGGCAGAAGACTTGCAACGGTCTCGCCATAAACATTCACGATGAAGTGAATTTTTTTGCAGTATATTGGTCTGAGTACAGGATATCTTGTACTGTTACCTACCGCTATCTCAACCTTGCAACCAGCCAGGACTGTTTTCATCGTCATTATGAAGGCTCGAAGTGGACTGATCTTCCTGTTTGTGCGGTATGTTCTCAAAGGCAGTGGGAATCTAAAGAGGTTGTTATTTCATTGATGCCTGGGCCCTGTAGCACCTTTCCCGCTAATAAAATTGGATGCTCTTTGCATTATAGATGCTTTCATCATCCGAAAATGTATTGTGCAGTGCGTCTCCACAGCTTTCTTGATGGTATGATACTTGATAACTTAGGCAGGGATCGTTGAAGATTTTCCTAACTCGGCTACAATGAATGTCTGTCGATTGTTTTACTTCTTTATCGAATAAGAATCGCGTTCCCTGGTTTGCGCTCGCGAACAACCTGTACCATGGTGAAGACCTTACTTGGGTTGAAGAGAAAATCTGCACGATATACAGTACACGCTTGTTCCAGTCGTCGAATTTGTTGCAGCCAAAAGTCTTTCACAGCACTTGTTTGGTTGAAGCATCACGATTGTCTATTCTGATATCCTACTTGAGCCAGACAATCTGACGCTCTATACCAGCGATGACATTATCTGATCTTGGTTGAAAATAACGAGCTCGAATGTTTGAAGAGGAAACAGCAGAGCATGCAGCAGAACTTTTGGGAGATGTCGACTATCTTGTCTTGGTGTCTTCATGCGGAGTCGGGAACTGGTGCGGCCGAGCGCCGCTACAATTTGATACCGGCTACAAGCCAGCTCCGTTCAAGTTTCTGACCGTTTTTCAGGCTTATGCCGGTCCTTTGGTTCCAGTCACTTGCCAAAGAAAGAAGGCCTGGGGTGGGCACCTCTTTCTGGGAAGCCAACCCTTTGCAACGAGTCATTTCCCGCAGTTCTGCTGTGTCACACAGCTAGTCCAGAAGTGTCTCTAGCCATCTTATCAAAACTTCATCGGTGCTTAGCTGAGGAAATAAGGAAAGTCAGAACCAAAGCAACGGCCGGTATATGGTACGGTGCGCTTATCTGACACCCGCAGGGTCTAATGCATGCAGGTTTTTTGTGCGAATTTATGTTGTCAGTACTACTGGCATGGGTCATAGATCTTGCAGTACAGTATGCAGGTCAACTTGATTGCACCTCAGCTGCAGTCTAATTGGACAACATGTCCATTTTTACACTCAAATATTTAGACAGGCAACGCTCTGCTATGCATATTGGTGTGCCGTAATTTGAAAGTCGTACTAGGCGTTCAAACGTTCACCCTTATTATGGCAGCATCCCACATCCCAAACAGGTCTTTGTAACTTGTAACTGCAGTGCGCTCTGCCATATGATATTCTGCTGTGTCATAAACACTAGCTATAATAGGCCTTCACCTAGGCCTTATCATGCCGTCGTCCCACATCCAAAACAGGGTTAAAGTTTATAACTGCACTGCTCTTTAAATTGAAATACTACGTCTGCAGGAGGTGCTATGCTGAAGATAACTTTCGCCGATTGTAATGCAGGACATCTCAACGTATATAATCCTCACCACAATGCCTTGAGCATCCCTAGTCTCCACACATCATCACCTTCTCCCCATGCTTTCTACAGCTCATCCACCTTCGCAGTGCCAGTATGTCTCCCCTAAGCCCACCATCTCGCCTCCACCCTTGCACAATGCTCGCTACGCAGGATGGGTCCGCCCCCCAATACAACTTCCCCGTGTTGCTTGTGCTATTGATACCCCCTCGCGCCATCCTTATAATATTACTACCACCAATAACCGTAGTTGCAATTCTAAATCTATTAGGACTTCATGCTCACTTATTACTAGAACCTCATCCCTATGCAAGTCACCCCGGCACATTTTGTTGGGCGCAAGGTGATTTCCCTTTCTATGGTTCTATTGTCATTAAAGTTTAATTCGCTTTCTTAGCATCTGCTGGTATGATGGGTCACGTTGACTCTCAACGCCGCAACGTCCCTCATTCATGGCCATGGAACGGTAAGTTTCTGTCGCCATCTGTTCAGGTCATTATACAACTTAATTTGGATAAAGGTAGCGCTTATGCTTTGTCTCTCCAAGGCGCTTCTGAGATGCGCACCAGAACTCAACATGATACAGAGAATGCATGGCTCATGTGTACGCGTCTGCCTTCGTTTTATTAACTTACAAGATGTTCAATTGTACGGTTTCCTAGATGATCATTCCACACGACGAAAAATGCCATCAAACATCAACGGCACCCAAAAGGGTACGGCTTAGTCGCACTTATGGTTGTGGATTGATTCTTATACCTCCCGCCAGTACACCCCCATCCGTTTTTCGCGCCACTACCGGTACCATTGATATACGACCTGCGCTATCCGCCCGCCTCTCTCCATTTTCCATCATCATCTCCATTTGCGGGCTGCGGGTACGAGTTCCTCCGCGTCCCACTTACGCCTAAAAGGCCTAGGCAGATACGGCTTGTCAGCCCAGATTTTCCTTGGGCGTTTGACATCCGCCCAAGTGTCGGAGAAGAGGTTGTGACGTGTCTTGACGTTCTCTCTACTCTGTACGCTGAATTGCAGTGCCCACTTACAGACATGGAGTGGGGCACTGCTGGAGACGAAAAACGTGCGAGTCTTATCAGAGCATGCGATCGTCGTCTATGGATACAACTTGCGTTGCACGGGAGCTCAAATTCTGCGGCACGCACTAGACCCACAGTGAGCTTTGAGAGGCCTGTGCAGCGAGAGCCGCTGCTACTCCGTGTCGACTGGCTTGGATCCAGCGTTGCATTCATGGGGCTGGTCAAGGATGAAGTTTTTTCGAGGAGATTCGTTCCGGGCGTTGGGGATCACCCTGAGACGTGGGTGGTGAAGTTCCAAAAATTATGATTCCGAAGGTCTGGAAAAAAAGTACATACATCTTACCATTGCCAGTTCTCTTTATTTTATGAATATGTGGCACTACTTACATTGAAATCAGGTGTTGAAATCGTATGCTGATGTACCGATATTCGAAGTCAAAGACTTGATGTAGCGGCACAGTAAGAAAATAAGAGTCATTCACGCAATCATCACCAGGTACCAGTCCGGTTGGATTGGAAAAGAACTGAGGGAACTTTAAAGATAGAGTGGGTTAAATACTCGATAAGTAGAGTGCCCGTGATTGAGAAAATTGAATGTGATAAAAGGAATTCAAATACATCTAGGGTTTTGCCGCCAGACGGCGGTCTAGGCTGTATGTTAATCACACTTTCACAGGAGGCAGCTCCCACTGATCTGGCCCAAACCGCGGTATAGACATCATCACCCCCGCATTGTTTCTCGAAGGTTTGGAAAACGTGCACATACTCTGTTTTCCAAGACTCGACAGCCATACAGGATTTATGACCGTTAGTCCTTCATGTTTGTCAGCATTTATTAGATTTGCAGCAGCAGCAACAGACCTTTGATCCAGGTCCGTGATGTTTGGACTACTTCAGAAAAGACGAGATAGTCTGGCGGAGGGCGATTTGCAAGCACAGACGTTGGATGAATGAAAACATCCCCGGATACTCCCACCGCCGCATACGGGACACCTTTAGCAGTTGAAAACTTCCCCCCACTGGCGCTTTTTTGTATTAAATCTTTCCGTACTGCTACTTGATCAATAAAGGCAGCGGCAAGTAGTTGACGGATAGCTTTTAGCTAAAAGAATGGTGTCATCGAAGGTAGAATGGCATGAACAGGACACCAGTCACCTGTGTGTCGTTGGGAGGTCGTATGTTTTTTTTGAAGCCAACTTCAGCGTTGTGGAAATTTGCTTCTGCAATGCTGCTCAGTTGAGCTCGCAGTTTGTGTATTTCTTCCATAGCCTGTAGTCTCCCGTCATGTTGCTGTGAGCTGAATATCATGACTAGCAGACATACCTTGGGCCTTACAAAATGGGCCTTACAAAACTGGTGACCCCCTCCAGAATACTCGTAGGCCCCGACAACCGAGAGGAATCTGAAAATGTCACTATTGAAATTACCCAGCGATCCATGAACCTGTTTCAGTGTTCAGCAAAATGTTGGACAAAGAGATGGAAGACGAGCCTGCTGAGACTCAAAGAATGTCCGTCGTCGGGTCTTCCTCGCCTCTTTCGCTCTGACGGAAGCGTTCTTGATGTGTCCCAATCCTTCATCGTCATCATCGGACTCGCTATCGGCATCTAACCCTTCTTCACGAAGAAAAGGGTCCCCGACCGACATAGCTGCCACAATCGAGATCACATAGGGTAGACAACCATGTTGTTGACTCCCAACAAGCATTCGAGAGAAGCGCGGGGAAAGCGGGAACAAGCTCATCGCCTTCCCTAGAGGCGTCACTTGCCCCCCGATCGTTGACATAGACACTCCCGCTTGCGATACGAGAGGTGCGCTACTGAGGGCGCCAAGACGAGTGAGGACCGTCTCAGCCTTTTTCAATACTTGCCTATCTGGAGGAGTTGGGAAAGGGAAATTGACAACGGCGTCAATGTTCATGCTCTTCATCTGCAAAACGACTCCCTCAATCGGCGTGCGCAGAATTTCAGGCTGTGAAAATGACTCGAAATAATGCTCGTAAAGAGCGGAAGAGTAAAGCCTATAGCAATGTCCTGGACCTGTACGACCCGCGCGACCAGCTCGCTGGGCGGCGGAAGCCTTGGAGATCCAACTGACTTGAAATGACTGAATACCGCTCGCCATATCATAATGTCGCTTATACACTGTCAGAGTATGCTTCTCACTATCGATCGAGATGCTCGTACCTCTTTCGCTCGGCCACAATCGATTACATAGCGTATATTCGGGATCGTAAGGGAGGTCTCCGCAACATTTGTTGATACTACCACCAAACGATAGCCTGCTGGTGGTGCATCAAAAACTCGCATCTGTTTCTCGCTTGGCAAGAGCGAGTACAGAGGGACGACGTGCATTGGGACTAGATCCGTGTTGCTTTAGCTTGTCAAATATCAATATATCAAAAAAGTTACCGTCACACTCCTCGATATCGATGCCGAGTTCAGCGTTGACACCATCTTCATCGTCACTATCGAGGCCTTCAGGATCTTCCTCCGCGAGGTCTCCGTCAACATCGAGTGCTAACTCCTGCTCGTGAACGCCAAACTCGATATCTTCGGCTTCAATGTCGGCTGTGGGTTCCTTTTGAGATAAAATCATTAGACGACTGCTTAAAATTACCTACCGTGAGGCAGAGCAACAGGACAAGGAACTTCACTGGCAACGGATTCTGCGAAAATAGAAGAAGCTTGGACAACTTGTCTTCTCCTCTTTCTTGCCTCTAGAGCTTTTCTGCCATATCGTGCCTCGAGCTTCTTGCAGACGCCCTGAATTTCATTTTGCCCTGTCAAGAATATGAGGATATCTCCCGGCGGCAAACGAGCATGAATCTTGGCCGCTTTCTTGACTGCTTCGCGCACATAATCAGTAGACGTCCGCCGGTTGAAGTGTATTGTTACAGGGTGTTGGCGAGCATCAACATTAATAACCGGAGGCGGCGACGAAAAGAGCGTCTGATTTTCTGCGAAGTCGCCGACGCGTAGGGTCGCCGACATGATGATAAGCCGTAGGGGTCTCGTACCCTCTGTGCCGTCCTTCCACATTTGTTCGCGTAGCTTGATTACCCGACTAAGGACGCCAATCAAGATGTCGGTGTTCATACTACGCTCATGCGCTTCGTCGATGATAATCACCGAATATTTTAAGAGCAAGAAATCGGTAGCAAGTTCACGCAAAAGTACCCCATCGGTCATGAATTTGATCGTAGTTGAAGGAGACACAGTTGCATCGTATCGGATTTGGTACGACACGCGGGAGGAGGTCAAGGACAATTCACGAGCCACTCGAGATGCCATTGACATTGCCGCAACTCGCCTTGGCTGCGTAACGCCTATCATGCCCGGGTTTTCTGCGTACACCAATATCAGTTATCATGAGATATACCCGTACGAACAAACTCACCTCCAGTAGGATCACCAAACCCGGCTTCATAGAGAAATTGTGGGACCTGAGTAGTCTTTCCGCTACCAGTTTCACCGCAAATGATTACTACCGGATTGAACATTATGGTTTCCATGATGGGCTGCTCTTCTGCAATGATAGGCAACTGCATCCTGGACTCCTGGATATCAAGGGGACGAATGATGGACACAGACTTTATACCTCTAGAAGAGGATTTAGAGAAAGTTTCTTGGGTTTTTGTCATGCATTCTGCAAAGGATGTAGAAGGAAGCTTTAGGTCTTCACCCAAGGGGCCGCGCATTGAATTCGGTTGCGACGATAACGACTTTCGTTTTTTAGGTGGGGGTGCGGCTGGATATTCGGTTTCGAGCGACGGCGGGGTCCCTTCAGTAATATCATGGCCTTTCGCTGTGTTGAGCTGTGTTACGGCCCAGTCCTTAAATCCAAGGCGTTTCTTGGCAGGTAGAGGGCGCTCTTCTTCCCCGTCTGAACCTACAACCGAGATTTCCCCTTCTCGATTTTCGTTTTCCTGTTCTTCATCCGTATCATAGGCCGAATCAGAGCTGTCGAACGATGAGTCTGATTCCTGTTCTGAAATCCCTGTCGGTGGTACCCTTCTTTTCCAGTTCGGGAATGAGGCCTTCTGAGAGAAAGTGTCAGTTCGAAAGTCCCCCGGTCAGGGCGTACATACCATTCGACTCTTTGCACTCTTTTTATTCACGACTAGGGGTGCCACGACAGAGCCATCAGGATTCCGTTTAAGGGCTCCGCCAACGGTGAAAACGGATAGAGCTGGCTGGGAGACTGTCGAAGCCGTAGGAGGATCCGCGAAGAACTCCTTCGTCACTGGGCCCTCATGTTCATCATGTTGTTCTGGCGTCTTATCAGTTTTCTCAACAAAGTCAACTCCATTCATCGCATCAGATTCGTCCTCGCTATATCCGTGTTCATGAACAGTGAAATCGTTATGGCGCCGTCGACGTTTATTGGGCTGGCCCTCCATAGCGCGACGTACTTCCTTGTCTTCTAGCTTCTCCTGGCGTTCCCGAGCTGTGGAGGTAGCTCCTGTACCAAGAGTAGAAGATGATTGAAGATCAAGGCTTGAAGTTTGAGCTTGGGTCTGACTACAAACCTCTGTGGAGATGCGACGATAAAATGCAGGAACTTGACATACGCTAGCTTCTCAAAAATCACGAGTCTCTCTTCTTTTCTCAGCTTTTTTTCCTACAGGAACCGTTATACAGCTCTTCTGGAAGGTAAGGAGATTCACGCACAACATACTTTTCCAGCCTCTTCCGCTTCTGTCTCGATACTTTGGATTCTGACTGTGCTGCAAGCTTCGGCCCATATTAGCGTCTCCCTGCCTACATGAATGTTACGGACAGACCTCTCTTACAAGCCTTTCTTTTCTGTCGCGCTCCTTATCTTCGAGTGACTTGTATTCAAGGATCGCGGCGTTGGGGTCAGGTGCATCGGCTGTAGGGATGACACCGTTACTTTTATGACGTGACTTCCCCTTCTTCCTCGAGCCTGCCGTGGATCGGCGCGCCTTGGAATTGTGCTGCTCATGCTTAAGGTCCATATGAAATGTCAGGCCGTCTTGGACCTTGGTGAAAGTTGCAGCATATACTTGTCAATGATAAAAAATGGTTATGTAATCAGGGGCGGGCATGTTTTTTGAAGTCAAATCGAAGTCCTACACGCTGCTGACTCAAGTACTCATGAGTAGTCCGATATTTTGCGCCGCAAATTGATTTTATTACGAGAAAGAGAAACCTTGCTAGCAAGGTAAGTATGGCGTACACCAGCGCAGATGGTAGCTAGCAGAAGATAGAGATACAGTGCACTCAAGCTCGGAAATGTAACACCACATCTAATGATGGTATGATTAATTTACTTTTCCGGAATCACATCAACCGAAATTTTTTCGAGAATGGCAAGGACCGAACATGAGACTAAGGGGAGGCAACAACGAGGACATTAAAGTTATATGTCGTTGGGTTAGCCTCAAAAGTGAAGTTTGTTGCCTGCAGATCGATGACGGTCTGCCCTCCTCGGGTTAGTGTGCCTTGCATGGTCCCGCCGGGTTGGATGGGTACAGCTAACTTCGAAACGCCGGCCGGGACGTTGAAAGTTTGTGATTGACTAGATGATGTCGAGAGTACGACTGTGGCAGGGGAGGTCGCTAGGACCACGGCCCAGACATTGTCTGAAGTCTAGATTTATCGTACTTGAGATAAGCACCCTGATATCAACGAAGTACATACAATCTGGTAATTGGTTGGTGGTCCAACCGGGTCATTTGACGCAGAAGCCAAGGCAGAATGTGGACGCGACCACATTACGAGCTGGTCTTTGGTCGGAGTGGGGTATGTTCCTGTCTTGAAGGCTGCGGCGTAATAGGACGTTAGATTGAGCCAGCCTAAAGGACCTAAGTTAGCATCGGATCATCATCTGCATAGACTTGAATGCGCACCAGTGTGATCATTGCCATCGACCCATGCTTGACTCATGGGTTGGTCTCCCTCTATCGGACCAATATAATGCGACTCTCCGAAATCATTCCAAGAAATGACTTGTACGAAATCTACCTGGTCGCGAATATTGATCAACGACTCCCACCGAGTAGTGTACAAGTGATCATCGCTGAGGTAAATCCACTACAGGAGCCTTGTGAGTATTCGCAATATGTACGACGGAAGGGCGACTCACGTTTTTGTTGTAAGTTGACGGGCCATAATGGGTGAAAAACCACGGAGACACAGCTGCCATGTACGATTGACCGCCACTCATTGCAGCCAAACTCGAGATGTATGTCTCGTCCGGACTCGTTGACCCGATGACATTAGACAATAGAGAGCTGACGGTGGAGGATAGACCACTAGCGATGTCTCCAAGTAGACCAGGTATGGACGATACATATGAAGTCGTGACTTGAATTGGCCATCCGGAATTCCACTGAGAAAATTAAATTTATGCAAATTGCGATACTGGAAGAACTTACGTTGAACATGCCATTGATCACCCCACTGTAAGTATTAAACTGTGATGGATCGACGAAAAATGATGGCACAAAATGAACTGCGGAAGATCCTGTCAATTGTTGTACGAATTGAGTAGACCATCCAGAAACGACGGATCCCTGTCCAAAAGTGCAAGTTTCGCCAGAGAAAGTTGAGGCCATAACGCGGCCGTTGTAAATCAACTGATTTGGGTGCGTGGCATAGGTAGTTATATAAGTACGAAGAATTGCAGCATCGGAAGCTGTGGTACAAGGCAAAGAACTGTACGAATGAGGATTCGCTGAAGAAGATGAAAGGGATAATCAACTTACGACATATCAAAGGACATGAAAAGCTTGAACCCAGTTCCAGACTGGAGAGCTGCTTGGTAACTATGAATTTGCTGAATCAAGAGTCTATTGCTCAGTTAAAAACACAGGGACTTACGCGTTGGCCACCTGCGAAGGCTGCCAAGTATCCACTCCTACATTCAGAGCAAAGCCATCGATTCCACTGGAATGTGCAAGAATGATGTCCGCGAGCCAATTATCCACGGTATAGGGGTATGAGTTTCCGACCATGAAGTGTGAAATAACATATTTTGATGATACAGAAGGAGAACTTGTACTGGTGGGCGCCTGTGAAGTCGTCGTCGTAGTTACCGAAAAGGAAGAAGTAGGTGTCATGCTGGAGGATGGTCCAGCAGACGAATTGAGGGCACGTAGTACAGGCTGTGTCCTGACAGCAGAATTGTGGTTCCAACGGTTTATGTGTCGGACAATCCCCAAGGGAGAAGCTAAGGAAAGAGCGACAAAAGAAAGAACAACGAGTGGAAAGTGCACGAGCATTGTGGCTGGTGACACCAGAAGTCAAACGAGTGATAGGAAGCGACTGTAGGGTTGATAAAGAGTTTGCGGCACGGCCGCCACGATGCTGGAACTGATCAGAGAGTGAGAGAGAGAAGAGATGTGGGTTTGGACTCATTTCTTATTATATATATGATCATCGTTTCGGCGCTTGATACTAACCAATGGACAAGGAATGTCACAAAAACAAGCTCAAGCTCAGAACAATGACAACGCCGCGGCGGTCCGCCAAGCTTATTGTTCCATGTGACTCATCACGTGACCTCCACAATGCGAAGCCTTCGACTTGAAATTCTTGAATTCGGCTGACCGACTCTCGAGCAAATTAGCAAAAGCGATGGCTCATCCAAATCTCAACGACGGCATGGTTATGCCAGGTCAAGTGAATTCAACCTATGTGTTTTTATCGTTGAATTCTTCATCAGGCACAGTTATCAGCGCACGTTTAATTTATAGTGAGATGCCGTACATGGACCCGCGCGTGTTGACCATTCTCATGCATCGTAGCATACGGACAAAGTTAATGTGCCTGGGAACAAGCAAATCAACGCCTCGACCAATCACATCACTTGTCGTACATACAAGGGTCATGGTTCTAACGAACGATTAGCCTGGCCTAGGTGAGAGTGCAATCACCACTTTGGCCTGCGCAACGCGTTCTTTTGGTGTAAGGTATTCTTTCCTCTCGCACCCCTCACGGTCTGCAGGTCCTCGAATTTCCTCTTTGCATATCGTCGCGCTTCTGCATCATCGACTAATTCATCGACCAATGTTCTCTTGCGATGAGCACGAGGAAGGTTGTCCGTACTTGCTGTGCCAAATGGCGTGTTTGTAGTCACAATGGTGCCAATCTAAGTCGAAAAATAAGCCTGTGCGATATGATAGATCGCGTTAGAAACCTACAGCAAAATGTTTCGGGAGTCCTTTGATACCCTTCCCGTCGCCATCTTCTTTACGGTAGAAGCGCTTGGGATCAAGTTGATTGCGCAGGCGAAGGGCTTCAACTTCACGATGCAATCGAGGCAGATCGGCTTCAGCGGGTGCCGGAAGGTCAAACCAGCTTAGACCAGCAGTTTGATTTCTCATCTGAAATAATACACGTCCCTGAGTCCTTCAGTTGATAGGATCATAGTGAAACTCACAGCTTTTCGCTGTTTTTTAGTTGCTATTTTTCCAGTAAGCGTTGGTTTTGGAGGGGGTGCAGGAGTAGCGGTTCCAGAGGTGGCTGCTTCTGCGCGCTGTATGTCTGGGTCTCGTACAGTTGCGGGGGCGTCACGTCGATCTTTCACAAATTCAAAATATGCAGGCGGAAGTTCCCCAGGATCCAATGGCGGCAATGGCCTGTAGCGAGACTCAGCAAAATGAAGCATGTTCTTCATAACATGCAGTACTTCTCCGATTCATCACCATCCAATTTGATAATGTCTTCTCCAGCACCAAACGCATTTTCTCGGAGTGCCTTTTTCATGTTAGCTGACTCTCGAGCATTTGATTTTGCTTTGTCCAAAAGAGACTGCAAGTATTCTTCAGTGATTTCTTCATCGTCCGAGTCCGAATCCGAGTCGCTATCGGAGGATGAATTTGAGCTGGAGCCCGACGAAGAAGAGCTTTCTGACGCCAGGTCGTCGAAAGAGATGAAGTCATCTTGGGTAGCTTTTTGTTTCCCTTTCTCTTTCGCTGCTATCGTGTTTCTTGGAACTGCTGCAAGCGGGATCGACATAATAGTGTAATGTAGAATTTTATATTTGCAACCTAACTAGTCGGCGATAGGACATAGTGCGTTGCTTACATAATATCACCCATTACCCGACGGGTGACCGGTGTCTCTCGGTATGGCGGTTCCAGCGCTAATGGAAAACTACTAGCACACAGCTTGTCACGGTTATGTTCACGTAGAAATCTATGCTCGGCGCGAAAAAAAGAGTCCACCGAAGACGAACTAAATGCATTCCGCAGTCCGGGCCTACTGGAGGGCATAAAAACTGATGATGATCCGTAGAAATCCACCGGCGACGTTGATAGCTCGTTATAAAGCGATGTGACACGGCATGTAGGGCGAACTCGAGACTGACGAGCCAGTAAGATGTGTGGCGGACAAAGATCGATCTGGGAATGCTCGTATGTCAGATAGCCTCCAGGGGTTAGCATGGGAAATAGCAAACGCACATTGCAATCGCCGGTGAAATGACAAGCCAGCGTATATCAAATTGGAGAGGGATAACGCGGAATGAACTCGACTAAACACTGCAGTTGACGCGATGTGAATTGAAAACCAAATGTGTATCGCGCCGTTGGCACCGAGGGAAAGAAAAGGATTCAAAGTCAACAGTGACGGCACTTGCCTGCTCTGAATTAGCATCGTGTCAAACATAATTTTTGTGGCACTGATCGAACGGGTGAAGAATGTAGAATGAGCTTACATACAAGGTACAAACGCGTGCATCCGGTTGGGAGTGAATAATTTGCGTGGTGTTTTAATTTGGTGCAGATCTACCGTGATCTAGAAATTCCGGAACTCAATCTAGCGACCCCCAAGGTCTTTGAAGTTTGAGGGTGGTACGCGCGAGCCGAGATATCTGCAGTTGGAGAATTCAAAGCGGCGAAACCTTGAAATAGTACTCGCCACGCGGTCTAGGCGCAGAACACCTATTGTAAGAGATGACCATTACAGATCTATCGAGCTTGAGGCGTGGATGACCAGCGCCAGCGGTGTCGATGATGGCGAGTAGTCATGACATCGCATACCCATTGCACTTGCGTGTCAAGAAAGGCTCCCACATGGACCGTAGAACAAAAGGGTTTGACTGCCGGGAGGAGATTGAGATTACATAGGATCGAATCGTGTTATAGGATGAAGCTGAAAGTTCAACATTTCGTTGCACAAACATGATCTGCTGAGGTGCGATTTCTGTATACTTGAAGTAAATAAAACGGCCATTGTCACTTAAATCCTCAATGACCGGGCATTATTTCAAGACAGGCATCATGATTCATTTAGAACGTACAACTGCTATACCATTTTTGTCGCATCCAAGGACGTGCATCCACACGTTTGCAACACCATCTTCTTCGCATCCAACTTGCATTCCATTGTCCTTCAAGACGATGTACTCTCTTGCTGGGGTCTGCATGACGGCAAGAGCCGGATGCAATGGTACACCTTTTGGTGTGATGAAGTGAACGCTCTCAACATGATGGTGGCTATGAAGGAGTCTTGAGAGCACTGAGCCAAAATACGAAAGCGCTGCTTACGCTGGTAGGTAAAGGTTTATCTTCGGTGCTCCGCCTCTGATAGCTGCAAAGGTTCCTTGAGACGGTAGACCTGCGTATTCTTGCGCCATCTGGTTAGATGACATCCACTGGCCACTAATGCTGTTCGCCGACTGTCAATATGTTCCGAAGTGAGCCATCTCATTTAGTAGATCACCTATTGGCAACCACACACGCCAGGACATATCGCTCAGCGACCACCTTTTTAGATAAGCCGACATTGCCTTCACCAGAGATGCGGCGTAGCCAGTGCCTGCTTATTCCTCGGTCATATTCCTCGTAATTCGCCCACCGAAGGTTTTCTGAGATTAAGTTACGTGGCCCAGCAGAAACGCCAGTGTGAGACGACAAGTATCTTGACCAGTCGGCGCGCAAACCAGAGGAGTAGACTTCAAGTTTAGGAGTGTTGAGTGCCCGGCCGATGACTTCGCAAGTGGATTCCAGTACGTAGAACTCGGATAACGAATTTCTGTCTCGAATCGTGATGGCCCAGATCTCACCTTTCACAACTTCTTGGGCATCTTCCACAGTATGTTTTAGCCACGCCGATGGATCTCGCTCATTCGTCCCGACAGAGAGCGTGAACCAAAGTCTTGTGAGGATAAATCTAAACTTAATGCTCAACAGTGCTTTGTCCTCAACCAAAAACAGCATACCTCAGCGCTACGACCACCTGCTTCTCGTCATCTGCGCTCGTCCAGAGACGTGCAGATAGAGGATCTATTCCAAGCGAAGAATGGTACCTTCCAACCCAAGAATTTCGGAACGCATGTTTCCAGAAAACCATTTCGTTCTGACGCTGACGCAAGTAGGGCCACATATTTGTTGTGTTTTGTGGATGGCGCTTCATTATTTGGTTTAGACGGCGACCATGATACTTCTGAGTGAGTATATGCGCGGCAGAAAGGTATACTATATGAGACTGTCGTTAGAGAAATGTCAAACCTCCGGATTGTATCTTACCTGCATATCGAAATGTCCGAGAAACCAGGGTGCAAGTCTGGCGATCTCGATCCGTGAGCGCAGCAAGGATTACTGCCCAGCTTTGAACTCGTTTTCTGTCGGATAGCTTAGGCGGAAGTGTAATATTCATTAAGGATGGTATCGAAATGGGGGCGGCCTCGAGGCTAAAAGTATCTGGGGATGTAGAAGTAATTTTGTCGGTCCGGTGGTCGTTGTAGGAGACTCGCTGGGAGGTTACTGATGTACCATCAATAATCGGAGTTGTTGTGAAAACGAGAGGTTTGAATCGACCTTGAAGTTTTGTTATAGACCCTTTCTGGACGAGGTTGATATTTCGAGGCTGAGTGATGATAGGTACTATGTTTGATGAAGCGCTAGCACTAGAGCCATGTGGAAGATGACTAGCCGCCGCCGAGGATTCGGTGATAAAAGTCAGACCAGTACTTGCTTTGAGGGTTCCAGTAGCCATGGGTGACTCCGTGGAATTTGAAGAGGAGGTGGCATCACAGATAGATGCAGCATTCACAGGAGAGGGTTTTTGTCTCTTCGCAGACTCAAACATAGCAGAGACACGGGGCCGTTTCGTGCTCTGGCTCTCGTTGGAAGCGTCAGGGCTTGATGCAGCGACAACCGTTGGTGATGCATGATGGTTGGCAGCTGGGTGATGTACCGGACCAGACACCGGCAGTGCTTTGCGTAGGGCAGATTGTTCTGCGGATGTGGCGGTAAGGTCTTTGTCTGCTGTCTGTATATTGCAAGTATGATCGAGAGCAGTAACTCCAGTGGAGCGTGCAGGAGCTAGGCCAGCTGGGTGGCCTGTGTGTCCCGCCGGTGCTGTTGTTTTCGATATTGGTTGGATCGAAATCGCAGGCTGAGGCTGAGGGTCACCGCGGGCAGCATTATTACCATGATTAGTTAATGTCTGGAGCAGAGCAGCTTTCCCGAGTTTCGAATACCCAACAATGCGGAGTTCTTTGCATAACACTTTGAGCTGAGGGACCGTGAGCTTCGCGAGGTCGCCTGCTGTCGTATTAGACATGCTAAAGTCGTCGTGTACTTCGTTAGACTTTGTTAATCCGGGCAGTCACTAGCAGCTGCCAGTGTTACCGAGTTGGGCCCCGATAAACTGGCTAGATATGCTACTGATGTAACTCAGGCACTACCATATGGTAGGTACCTGGTCAGCTCATTGAGCATATGAAAGGTACAAAATCACGTGGATAAATGTTGTTGATGCGTGGGTAAATCACCAATATTTGAATTTGAAATGGTTCAGCGGACGGCGACACCCTAGGGTTAACATTCCGAAGTAGATTAGTTGAGCGCTGAAATTTCGAAATCTAAACGCATCAATGCGTTCAGGACTAGTGTGCATGGTGCCTGTACGATTGGCTATGTGCATTATCAGGTTGTTTTTCACCAATACGAATTTTTTTTATTGTATTATTGTATTTGTTCACTACTACATATGTACCATACATACATTTCCCGGGCTACTAACTGTTGTCCGTCCTCGTCGTTACCCTTAACGCGCCGTCGCCGTATACATCCCTTCCGAGTCACTGTCGTTAAATTCTAATATTCTCCGTTTTACCGTTACCGTGCTCATCGTCGCCATCCACCAAGCACGCTTGTGCTGGCTATGCATAGGCAGTGGAGTCGAGAGCGATCCTCCAGAGTAGGCTGAATGTCGGGGTGTGTTAATCTTAATTTATGACATTGATCATCAACTCACGTAGTTATCTAAGTTCTAGTAGTTGGAACGGCAATTTTTACGTCCCCTGCTTTTTGATCCTGATTATCAGATTATCAGACTCCAAGAAACACAGACACAATGGTGTTTTCTACACAGCCCAGTGATTGTGCATGTAAAGTACCGAGGACACGTTCTGTCCGATCAAATACAAAGGTAAGGAGACAAAGGAGCGTGTGAACTGATGCAGACAAAGTATCGTCAGAACTACTACTGCAGGCCAAGTTGTAGAGTTCCCAGGTACCCTAGCTTTGGCGACTGGAACGTTCTTCAATCATACTGTACCTGTGCAAGCTAGCGATCGAAATTCCCATAAAACCAAGGTTTGCAAAGTGTACGATATCTCGGGACGAAGATGACGGGCCTCCGAGGACATCTAGGTGACGCTAAACGATGTCAGAGATATGCTCGTACCAGGATGCAAGCGCAATAATTTTTTGGTAGTGATGGAGCATTACGAGCGCCGGTTCCATCTGGATCTTTCCGAGGGGCCAAGTACTGGGAACACGTGAGTTCTTCATTTTTATCAGAATGCCAGTGTACACAACGGATTCTTACGTTCATGCATGATAACTAAACAAATTTTCACTACCATCGGTACCATTATTGTGGGTAAATAACCATGCAATATTGAAACCCTTAGGATCAGAGTGAACATTATCACTGTGGATCAAAGGGCATCATCAGGCACCTCGAGCAGGGGTAGGTGCGGCGGAACCATATCTTCTATACAGTGACTTCAACCTACTTGCAGGCAAGCGTTCGAGGCAGAGTGCATGCACTCGCACTGTTGCCAAAAAGCAATTTACAGCCGCCAGCGACGATATTGTTCTGTAAGGCGCATTCGCTCTCATTGCGACTCGCAGGGTGCAAATCGAACAACGTTCATGTTGTGGTGCCAAGGTAAGTAATAGTTACTCGCACGATTCAAGTCCAAATCTGCAGTGAGTACGGTAAATTCCGTTTCTCACTCGATTGGCGCTCGCCGTGAGAGGAAGGGTTTGAGCTTCAAAGAAGTGTCTTCTTTCTATTTGGTCTGCCTAAAATTACCAATCGCGCTCGAGCATCGTCGTGGATGCGCCGCGGCTTTCAACTCTTTCGTACTGGCTCTTCCGAGTCAAGCGTACACTCGATTTCCATCCTCTCCGGATCGGCTGCATCCGCTGCTAGGCCGCTGAAAATAAATATCACTCCACACGCGCATGGATGTTTTTGATTCTAGATTAAGGTACTTGATCGGCCTCCTGTAAATGAATGTGGCTGCCAGGCCGCTCGAAGGAACACATACCAACTTGTTGATAGCTTCCTGTGCAAAAGGCACATGACGGGTTTTTCGTGTGTTGGTAAGTCCCTCAATAGTAAGTATCGATCGTAGCGAGCGCTACTCATCATCGCAGGTTTTATCACAAGTCGCCGTTCCCTGCTGTTACGGTGCCACAGGCGTCTGTTACATGTTCCCAATATTACACCATCATCATGATAGGGCCCTGAGGTCACATCCCATGTTCTTCGATGTGATCGGTTGCTAATCTATCCATCTCTGCCACTCTCCGTGTGGTTGACTTCTGCCAGTACTTGGCTCAGCCACGCACCATATCAAATAATTCTTGCGGTGGGTTGACGGCAATAGGTATCAATGCATCACATCTCAGTACAACCTGTGGTTTGTCGTGCACTCTTCTTGCGTTACCCTAATCTCGGATACAGGGGGGGTGTCCAATTTTGCCATCTTTTCCCTTCATTGCAATCAATCACGATTCGATCGTTTAGCGCTGTGTAAATGTTATGTGTTTGCAACAGCAGCTGCGCGCTTGTATTTTGCACTTCTCGGGACGTGTTCTGAAAAGATGAGATGATTGTTGCATCAAGAACACCGCGGTGACTTTATTCGGTTCTTTGCGACTTAGGGTGACATACATTCTTACCTTATGTCATTTTTACCAGTCCTCCGGTAAGGACGCGCATAAAAACTCTCACATACATCCGAGTAGTGTATGTGTACTCGAAGTGCATCTTGACCAATAGTGCGCGGTTATCGTCGCACCTGCAGATTTTTTCTGTTTGCTAAGCAAAGGCTTGACGCATTCCATATGCCTCAGAAATGATATGGTCAAGATCCCTGACACACATGGACTACTACCACAGCCCGAATTACTTCTGTCACATCCGGATATTGTGACTAATGCAATGAACGGCATATCTTGTTATAGAACAGCCAGGATGCTGAACGCTTGTGCTTCTCTCATTCGCCCTCTCGTTGGGTACATGCCAAGGGTATATAAGTCCGATAAATACGCAATATAGTACGACTAAAAGCTACAAGGCATGTGAACCCGCGAGACTAATTAAGTTATATACGCTACAGATGACTATTCAGGGATTCCTCGAATTACGAGGTGTGATCTGATTTACTCCCATTCTTTATAGTATGGGACTTGATCGATGTTCGAGTGAATGAGCGACCACTGCGCGGAGAAAGAGGTCTGTCGAAATTGTGAAGGGGTGGGATGAACCAAATTCCAGTCCCCCCCACCACCGACGACATGGTGGATCTCTGCCTGAGGATGGCCTTGATACTCTAGCATCGAGCTTGTCGCCGATGTGTCTGATGTTGGGCTACTGTTTCTTGTCCACTGGCATGGTGCAATAGCGTTTGTCCATGTTTCATTGTTGGGCATTGCAAGAGGTTCTATGAATGTCTATGAGAACTCGTCGCCGACTCGCGACCCAAATGTGCGTACCATAAGACGTGTGGGACCCCTCGTCAATTTCATAGGATGATTCCGACGAAAATTCCAAAGGTTGGAGTGGCTCATGCCTGGAAATCGCTTCATGTTCTTTCGACAACTGTTGCAGCAGTTCTGCAGCTGTGAAGGGGATAAGTGACCATGCAAGCGAAACGTGTATCAGAACAACAATACCTTTCTTCAAGGTTTCGCGCCTGGTCTGGGGAGTTTCCCCTGTCACTGAGTGAATCACTAGGCGGAGTTCCTGGAACCCGTCCCCCTCTTTGACTCGATATTGCCTCTGCGATGCAATTTTGCTTTGCTTCGCGGGACGCTGGTAGCTTTGCGTACCGCGGTAGAGCTGCATATTTGCAATCGATCGCGCAATAATGAGTCTGCATGTGGGGCTAGAAGTCTGCTTTTATAGCATCCTCTGCCCCGCCACGCATATTTCGTAAGCTCTGTGTTTTTTCGGATTACTAGACCTTGCCCAAAGGAATCTCACCTTACAGTGCGGTTCCCGATCTAGACTTGAATCAGGCGGCCTATCGATTTTGCTTCCACTAACTATAATAATATGCGGATCAAAACCACCTTCTGTGCACAGACGCTCATGAAACTAAGACCTCGCTTACGTCTCCACACGGTCAATGCACCCCGGCGAGTGCAAGGTTTCGTTAGATCTTTGGGTTGGACCGTGGTGATTTAGACATTTGATGACAGGTCTATCAAAATGAAATCGGAGGGCATCAATGTCACGTTGCCCCGAAAGTTTAAAGTTCGTGTAGATGCTCGTGTTCGGGTGCGACCCTCTTGCAATCCGCCTGTGTATGTACTACAGTAATGCATCGGTGGTAGAATCACAATGCCGAGACATGATGTCATACTTAAGCGGGAAGTTTTTCATCGATTCCGGTATAATCGCTCCTTCATTTTGCTACAGCGAACAGCATTTATAGAGTCAGCGACCCGGAAGTTACCGTGACTGATCATTGACAAGGTCAGCCGTGGGACACAAATGATCGCTGCAATGCGTAGTACTGAAGGCTGTCCTGACCAGTTATGGGTTATGGTACGTGAATGCACTGACGCTTAGCGCTGATTTAGATCTCGATGATAGGCCCGGAACTACTCACCTATCATTGGACTATTTCAAATTCGAACACCGACTATGTATTGTTCCACTATCATCGATCCTGGCTATGCATTCATTTTTGAGACATACAAGGACGATGCTTGCTTCAAACTACCCTCTAGTAATGCGAACATAGGCACATAGACTGTCATAAATGCTATACTCATGTAATTCAACGTAAGTATCTTTGATAACTGCCAATCCCAAGCACATGGACTTACAGCCGCTGTCGAAAACAGAACAAAGCTTGGAGCGAAAGCAATGCCTATTTTTTACTGAAATAGGCAGCTATGATCGAGCAGCCTGATTAGAGAAGGATGTCTTTCGCACAACAATGATCCTATGGCCACCGACGAGCATTCAGTAGTATGTGAATGGGAAAGTTCAGAGTGAGACTTTCGGAACACTGATTGTTTGTGTCCCAGGTGTGCTCTTGAACATGAAATCGAGTAAGGACCAACTTATTTATCCAAGCTTACATGAACGTAGATGGCCAAAAACATTATCCATTTATTCAGCTCCCACTTACCTCCTACTATGACGTCAGTGTATTGACCGACGGTGTATCAACCTGGCATGACGCGGCTCCGGCGAGCGAAGCTGCACCGTGACTGGTGACCATTACCATGAATTCAAAGTGCTTGGTCCAGTAAGTGCACTCTTGGCTTAGTAAAGATCATTTAGATGCTCAGCACAACGATGCAAAAAAGGACATTAGGCAGTTCCATTAGTGCTGTCATTTTTTTTGATCTTCGGTGATTCCCAGCGGCGTCCGCTGGGGCCAAGCCCTCCGGTGGACACTACCTACAATATCCAGGTTCGCGTTCTGTACGTATCTTTGTCCGTGATGTGATGTCTATGCTGTACAGCGGTCCCGGCTTGCGCGAGGACATTTAGGCCTCCTTCAGGCTCTCGATGTGATAATGGGTGTTGTCACCATGCTCCTTCCATTCCTTCTCGTTTTCCTCCGGGGGATGTGCTGTCATGGTCATTCACGTTGCCGCACCCCCGACATACAAGGAGCAAGCGCAGTGCGCACGCTTGATTTATTCAAGCCGAACATTGATATTTACAGGAATCAGCCGGTGGCAGGGCCTTTGACAGTCTTCGAAATCGGAGACAGTCAGGAATGAATCTCAGATTCATCAATAGTAAGCTCCGCCGCACTCCAGCGACGAGAAATTCAGAATACACCGCTCTTCTTAGAACTTCGAACGTGGTGGGAGTAGAAACCAAGGCGATTGCCAACAAGAGCAACTACAAGATGATGGTATGAAAGCGTAAAGCGTGTTGCTGTTGGGAAAACCGGGGATGCATACTATGCTGCGAATTTTATTTCGCAATCCAGAAGCAATCACCTCCTTCCTCGACATAATTTTGTAATATTTGCGGTAGCATTAAACGGTTGATATCGATATCTATCATCCTATGCTCAACGACTTCCTTTAGTGCAAAGTGCAGCCTGGTGCGGCAGGTGAATTTCTAGGAGAACCTGACTGGCCTGGAGAGTCCTTTTAATGAAGGTTTAGCCAGTGACAATCCGCGATCTGAATATTGATATGAAATGGTTTATTTTCGTACAAGATCTCGATCGTAGAGCAGTTTTAGAATCTTACATAGGTCTATTTCGTAAGTTGCAAGTGACAAACTCAATTTGCAGTTTTTTTTACGAGCAATATACTGCAATATAATTAGGTACCTTGAGGAAGTTGCTTTATCTCAGGCCCAATTCCAGCAGTAGATAATCCAACTGTATTTACGGTTTTCCAGACATACGGAAGATACATTTTGGTGGGTATTCTAATATGTTGAGATCGTAACTAGTCAGTCCGTCATGTATGTCTGGTCGGTCGTGGTGCAGCAATATAGAACGTCGTACAAGCGGTCATCACAAAAGAGCAGTAGAAGATTGGTAGAAGATATAAAGAACCAGCTTCGCAAGGAAAAGAAAAGAAAATAGGGAAAATGAATCATTGACTGCGTATGACGACAGTGCCTCGACATAAGAGGCCTTCGAAAGGTGTCGAGATAGCAGGCCGACGGTCCAGAATTTGTCGAATCGTTGTGCCATACATCCAGGCAGATCTCCTGATTGCACAAATGCAACTGTGCCAGCCGATAAGTCGTCATGAAGGTTTATAATAGATGGTCGTGAGATACTGTAGCTTCATGGTCAGCAATCGTGATGGATGCTATGATACGAAAATGTAAACCTTCGTGCGATATCGTGTAGTATTACCCACGGCCAAGACACCATTGCGAATTGCACTGGTACTCAAGTGGTGCAACACAACATGAGATGGAACAGGGAGAACGCTAGCGTCGTCGCTGAGCCCAGGACCATCAAGACCTAACCGAGTATGCGCAGGGGCTGCCAGATGCACGCTGGTTACATCCGTGCCGCTTGCCGTAGTAATAGGAATTGTAGGAGCTTCTAGTTCTGTAGTTCTGTCTTCCTTGTGAAGCTCACGAGCAACGGTGCTCGTCATTCCCAAAAGGGATCGTCCCTGTCGTCGTTTGCTTTCGCGCTCCCTTTCACGTTCACGTTCCCGATCACGTTCCCTGCCCCTGTTCCCTGCAGGAGATTGCCCAGGTTTCGCATTCAGTATCAGTTTATCAAGATGCCGTGGCAGTCCAGGGGCAGGTGGAATGTTGGGAGTAGGGACATGTTGATAAGGTGTCTGGTCGTACTCGGGACCAGCTGAATACGCTAAATAGGCTTCTTCCTCCCGAGCAGCTGCCATAAGCCCTGCAGGGATTTCATCCGTCCACTTTGCAAACATACCCTTTGGATCGCTTGAAGATGTATCCATAATGGAACCGTGCGTAGAGCTTGTTGTTGACCAAAAGGAGTGTGCATGAGGGTGTGGGTGGCGCCCCGATGTAGCAGGGACAGCAGACGACACGTGGGGTGGAGTCAAGCCGGAAATAGGAACAGCGACGTAATTTGCAAGACTACCTTCATCATCAACGGCAGTAGGCAAGTCATCTGCTACTCGCCATTGCTCATCGACGATGAATCGAATATGATGAGTACCAGGCATGAGTGGTACCAATGCAGACCACGATTTGTCGCTCGATGGATCACTATGACATGTTGTTAACAATAGGGCGAAGGCTGCAAAATAGATGACGTACTCGGGCTCCATAGGCAGACGACCTTTCCAATCATCGTCTCCAGCACGAACTAAGACTACGCTCTTCCCACCACCATTCCATGTAATCTTCACAGGGACAGGTTCTTTTGGTTCCTCATGTGATTGATTTGATAGATTCATCAGTTGGCCATTCTCCCCGTCGGTGTCAGCATTTGCCGATTTGGTTATATCCTCTTCTGCTTTGTGAAGGGCGAGTGGGATGGTTGAATGCACGGTCTCTTGAACGAAACCAGATGGATCAGGTTGTTCAGATGCCTCAATCTCACTTTCGGCGTAGAGCTCTTGCATACGAGGCTGAGCAGATTGATCGCGCAAAGGGAAAGAATGAGTGGAATTATACTGCAGGGGTGCGCCTCTGAAGTAAGGGCTCCCTCGCGGGCGGTGGCTATGTTGCACCGGGATATGCGTAGATGGAGGGTGATCCAAGAGAAGTTCTGCCGAGTAGTTTCCCGTATCAGTAACTCTGTTTGGGGCGCCTTTCAAATCCGGCCGACGCCCGCGAGGGGAAGTGCCTGTATTTGAGGCATTATTCATTGTCCCATTGTTCAAAGCAGGAATCGGAATCGGGATTGGGGAAGTTGTTCTCAGTGGTCGACGGTAGGGTGATAAGGGGGAAGAATTCCCAGAGTTGTGGTATGATGCTGCTGGTGTTAGGGAAAGTGATGCAAGATCTGGAAGCTCGAGCGATTTTTTCTTTGTCCGTAACGAGCGATGAGGTTGATGGGGATTGGGTGATGGTGAATGTGAGGGAGCTTGTCGACGCGCAGATGAATCAATTCTTCTGCTCGGGACAGGTGAGCGTGAGCTTTGATTGGTGTTTGATGCGGTATTTCCCATCTCACGATGATGGCCGTTGTTCGTTGACGACGTTCTTTTCGTCCTAGTCGTAACAATTAAGCTCGATGGTGTCAAGACTCGGAAGAGGTGATACAATGTTTATTATCAAAAGGATAAGTCCCGATAATAATAATAATAATAATAATAATAATGATATTTATATACATACAAACTTTGAATGCCATCATCCGATTCATTGCAAGTACTGAGTCTGTAAGACCACCGTTGGTTCACCACATCCGAAAATTCTTACTGAAGACTCCAAACATGAGTGGAGATGCATCTCCTACCTTACCGCTCACCCCAGCATCTAATGTTGTTGTCGAATCGAGCTCTTGCTTGACCATCCCCGAAACCAGAGACGGATTTTATGGCTATACCGATGAGAAGAGCCTCCAACAAGTGAGATAGTATTTCCCGACAGACATGCATTGGACTCATATCTTGAATGATCAGATGGTGGAACACAAATGGGCACAGCGTCATACTTCCGACGTTGCGCATCCTCAGGCTGACAGTACATCACTATCTGCCAGTTTCACGTTGTCTTCTATTGGCGAAACCCCTCAAATTCAAGCGACTGAAGAGTTACATCCGTCTCATTTCTCTGACGATGAAGATAAAGAACAGATTTCGGATGTTCAGCGCCACAGTTCGTCTTCATCTGACGTGTCTAATCTGACCCCTCAGGTTATATGTTTCTACAGTGGATACCATAATCACCCCAGAGCTTGCACGTGTTGTCCAGTCTTTTCAGAAATGCCTTGAGCTTCGCGATAAATATATCACGAAATCTTTACAGAGGCTGGGAGATAACCCCAGAGACCACGACGGTGTCTTTCATGGCGTGGCTGAGGGCCTGGCGGACGTTTCTGGGGTCAAGCCCGACGTTAACCAATCTTTAGCGGCATCCCAGAACAGCCCTCACGAGCCCTGGGTCATATATCCGAAGCCTCCTCCACCTCACTGGCACTTTGCGGCGAAAGAAACGGTCATTAGCGCAGATGGTCGCGTTACACCGGACGACCAATTCGAATTCTCTCAATGCCAAATACCCGGTAATCATGAGTGGGTGTTTGAAATAGATGACAAAGGCGTATATCAAATATACACGAACTCTGATGGTAATTCTGCTCCCTTTCTGCCATAGGAACTCGATCCAACCGTGTTCCCAGCAGAAACCAAGAAACCACTCTTCGATATACCCACTATCAGAGAGTACTTCGTTGATCTAGACTATGTCCTCGGAGTTATCTCCGATGGTCCAGCAAAAAGTATGGCATATCGTAGGCTCAAGTATCTGGCGAGCAAGTTCGAGATGTACAGTCTCCTGAACGAGTTTCAAGAATTAGCTGACATGAAGGTGCGTGGAGACTATCGAGATTCATCACAATGTTTTTGAGGTATTCGTCTGCAGAGTGTGCCGCACAGGTGCTTCCTCCACTGTACGTACAAGGTGATGGGCTGATTTAAGCGATTTAAGGGACTTCTACAATGTGCGAAAGGTGGACACGCACGTCCATCTAGCAAGTTGCATGAACCAGAAGCACCTCTTGCGGTTCATCAAGTCCAAGATGAAACGCAGCCCTCATGTTTGTATGAATTCACCTGTGGTATATCAACTACTCAGACGTTTCGCTACTTTAGGATGTTGTTATCTTCCGTGATGGGACAGACTTGACGCTGGAACAAGTGTTTCAGTCGCTCAAGCTGAGCGCATATGATCTATCCATCAATACGCTCGACATGCACGCCCACCAAGATTCCTTCCATCGGTTCGATCAATTTAACCTGAAGTACAATCCGATCGGCGAGTCCAGGCTGAGAGAAATTTTCCTGAAAATAGATAATAAGATAGATGGTAGATACTTCGCTGAGATCACCAGAGGTATGCTTCGTGATGTTCTCTCTGCGTCATTCTGACATGTCACAGAGGTCATGAACGATGTGGAGCAAAGTAAATACCAGGTACGAATGTCCTACTTGCGACCCTCGGAGTATTTATCATATTCTTAGAACTGCGAATGGCGTGTCAGTATTTACGGTAGATCCGTGGATGAGTGGGACAAGCTTGCGAAATGGATCATCAACAATGATTTGTTTTCGCACAACGTTCGCTGGCTCATTCAAGTTCCTCGACTGTATCAAGTGTACAAGGAGACTGGTGCACTCGACACATTCGAAGAAATCGTCATTAGTAAGTTCTTCTTGTCTCATAATTTCATCCATCTCGACAATGTACTGTGATTGTAGATGTCTTCCGCCCACTCTTTGAGGTCACGAAGGATCCAAAGTCGCATCCTGAACTTCATGTATTTTTGCAACGTGTCGTTGGCTTCGACAGCGTGGATGACGAATCTAAGGCGGAACGTCGATTCCACCGCAAATTTCCCTTTCCTCGGCTCTGGGACTCCAAGCAGAATCCTCCGTTTTCTTATTGGTGAGTGGGGACTTATCTGCATTTGTTATTCATCAATTGAACATTGGATGACAGGATGTACTACATGTATGCAAATATGGCCAGCTTGAACCACTGGCGAAAAGCACGAGGGTTCAGTGAGTTTCATTTCTGTGATTGCCTCTGAGTTTCCATCAATGAAATTGACTGCCACGCAGACACGTTCGTATTCCGACCTCACGCCGGTGAAGCAGGAGACACGGATCACCTGACCGCGGCCTTTCTTACATCTCACTCGATTTCACATGGAATTCTGCTTCGCAAGGTCCCCGCGTTGCAGTACTTATTCTACCTGAAACAAATTGGGCTAGCTATGAGTCCCTTAAGCAATAATGCGCTGTTCCTGACCTATGAGCGCAACCCGCTTCCTGACTTTTTCAAAGTTGGGCTTGAATGTGAGTTTAAGCACCGATGATCCATTGCAATTCCATTTTACGAAGGTAAGCCCCCGACTCTGATGCACCGTTGTTGTCTACTCACTCGGACACTGGTAATAGGAACCACTACTAGAAGAATACAGTGTTGCAGCTCATGTAAGATGTTTACAAATCACCAATCCAACATTTACTGATGACTGACCTACATGACAGATCTACAAGCTTCCTCAAAGTTCACTAGCTGAGCTCGCTCGCAACTCTGTGATCCAAAGTGGCTTTGAGATGGAGATCAAAAGGCATTGGCTCGGTCAAGAGTGGTATCTACCAGGCGCTGCAGGCAATGATATCCATAAGGTACACGAACTGTTCCCGTATACTCGACTTATTTATGTACTCACCAACCGCAGACAAACGTGCCAAATCTTCGGCTAGCATATAGGCACCGCATACTACTTGACGAGCTTGCGATGATCAAGTCGCAGCACTCTACGTAGTCAAGAGCTCGATATGGCATCATTTGGTGATAGTGGCATTGGACCCGTATGATATATATCCCGTTTTCTCTCAAACAAGTGTAACTATGCCTTCTCAAGGTTCCAGATATAGATGTGCTTTTATAGGACATAGTTCCGGTATTCCTGATCTGGAGCTGATCATCTGACGAAGAGAACTGTAGGTTCTAAGACCAAGGAAAAGTTGATAGAGGCGCCTCCCAGTGAGCTGAATTTGTCTGTGTATGTGAGTCGGGTTGTGAAGCAGGAGTGTCATACGGGGCAGGATTGAGTCGCGCCTGCACTGTTGTACGAACGAGCAAGTACTGATATAGATATATCATAATGAGACTCAAGGGATTATCGATGGCGGTTGTATACTCATTCAGCCTGGCGGAGTGGGAAATCAAAACGCTGTGCCGGCCCACGCCGGACTGTCGATCAACGTTCGATCAACTCTACTGTCGATCCTCCCGCCAGGTACTATCATCTCCGCGGGACGAGCTTGCACGTTGGCAGCTGTGGAACACAAACAATGATATCAGAGCCTCCTGCTTGTGATATCGATGGCGTTTCAGCTAGGACCATCCGATCCGAGTCAGACAATACCAGATTGGTGCATCTGTGCCAGCTCCCGGAGGTTACATAAATCCAGCCATCTCATGTTTCATTCTAGTGCAGAATTCACGTTCCCCTTCGAGCCAATAATACCCCAGGCTACGCAGATTTTGGCATAGTATCTCTACAATCGTGAGCGACCGCATCGCCCCGTCCCCCATATAAGTTATAACGCATATTCCAACTCTCTCGTTCGTGACTGCTCGATACCATGTCAGACGCCGACGCAAGCGAAGTATCGAGGAAGCCAAAGGTCCTAGTTGCAAGCTTTGACGGTACCGCAGGGTTATATGATGCGATGGTGAGGCCCCGAAAAATCATACACACAGATCGCGAATACAGAGACTAATACATCATTCCGTTAGAATACGAATGTCGTCAAGTTCGTCTCGTTGTTAAAGAAAGATACGGATAGCCAACTCTGCTATTACCAGGTACGTGCCCGGATAGACTCCGGCGACTCTACTATGCGATCGCGAGTTCGCATTGCAGTAGCAAGGGAACTCAAATCCACTCTTGTTATACAGGCTGGTGTTGGAACGTATTTAGCTCCTGGAGTGGTTTCCCCCATGTTCACTTGGCTCGCGAAGCTCTTGGATGAGGCATTTGCATGGTGCGTCCAGTAGGCTGAAATGAAGGTCGACGTTGCTTGAGTATATGCAGGTACCTGGACGCCCATGTCATGGAAGGTTACGGGTTCTTGATGGATAACTACCAGCCTGGTGATAAGATTTGTCTTTTCGGTGAGACGTTCGCCTTGGCAGTACGTCAGATTCCACTGAACTCGAGGCAGGCTTTTCTCGAGGAGCATATACCGCACGTGCGTTAGCGGGAATGTTGCACAAGGTCAGTTGTCGTCGATCGTAGATGCTTCCCTTAATAAGACTCCGTCGCAGGTTGGGCTGCTTCCGAAATCCAACGTCCAACAAGTTGGCTTTGCCTACGATGCATATAAGCAGACTGGTGTATCAGCAGATGCGCTTGCTGCAGGATTTAAGCAGACGTTTTCGCGTGACGTCAAGGTAGAGTTCGTAGGAGCCTGGCGAGTTGTTCCTATATCCAGCTACCTACAACTAACTTTTCAGTTTTCAGGGACACCGTACAAAGCACTGGGGTGCTATGGAGCCGGAGCCTGCCATTCACAGATTCTAATACCCTGATCAAGACATTTCGACACGCTTTGGCTCTCGACGAGGTCTATTAATCCCGCTACCCACTTAACTTGGTGCTGACTCTCTTCAATAGCACCGCGTTAAATTCCAACCAGATCTTTACCATCGGTCGCAGACAGATACACCTGATCCGGATTATTGCAAGGTGTCAAAGTTATCCGAAGTTATTGCAGCTTTGGAAGACAATGTTTCCGATGAAATTGGTTCGTCGCGGAATAAGCTCCCTCAAGTTGTGAAACGTGCGAAGAAGTTCGCGGGGAGGCCGAAGTTTCAACGGCTGAAGCGTGGTTTCGCCAAGACAGTCTTGCGCCAGCGGAGCCAAATTGTCGCTGAGAATCCTGGGGAAACTACCGTCGTCAAGGATCAGACAAGTGTGGAAGTGCTTGACATTCCTGACATAGAGCCGACACCGCCACCAGATGTTATGGAAGTCTGGTTCTCGGGATGTCATAGTGGTAAGCATCCACAAGTTTTGCTAATTCTCTTTCTTTGAACACAGCATGGACAGACATAGGTGGCGGAAATGTTGACAACTCTGTCAAGGTCTCATTGGCGCAAATCACTCTTCGCTGGATGGTCGAGCAGGTCATCCTCTCTGAATGTGGCATCGTTTTTGATGAGGAAGCTCTTGAGCGTGCCGGCATGCCATTATCAAGCTTTCCTATTCCGCAAACGCCTCCTGCTACTGAGGATCCGACTGGCGAGTCACAACCTATCGATGCTGTGTCGCCTTGCGCAGAAGCACCCTTGCCCACCCCTTCTAGCCCTCCCACTGATCCCCCCACTACACCCTCACCCCCAACTCCCCAAACTTGCGATGCTCTAGCTCCTTTGTTCGACGAGCTGCAGCTCCAGAAGGCTTGGTGGCTTCTTGAAATCATGCTCCTTCCATTTGCATGGCAAGACGCGCATGGCAAATGGCACAAGAAATGGAGGTGAGCTACTTGTTGCTGCGAGGAACTTATTTAATTATGGATGGCAGCTTCCATCTGGGCAAAGGTCGTGCTATTCCCTTCCAGCATCCCAAATTTCATTCATCCGTCAAGGAGCGGATGGACTATACGCCCTTGAAGTATGAGCCACGAGCGATATACCAACACGATCAAGTGGTTTTTGTATGATGACGACAACGACCGGACCTCTGCGACCCGTATTGATGCCCATCCACGATAGAAATCTTTTGAAACCATAACGCCCTGAATGATACTATTAGCGTTGCGCTATTTGCGTGAGTAATGCCTTGTAATATTCCGAGACTTCCGTAGGACTTGTTTATAACCCGCTTTATGATTGTGATAATGATATGTTCAGGCCGCGTCGGTATTTTGCGTTTCGACCATGCATGCTGCGAGTCTCAGGCGATGCTGTAATCTGTAATCGCCTCTAGTTGTGCCGGTCTTCGATCGTGGAATTATCGCACGTTCGACCAATTGGATATCTTCGTTGATGCATGCGGCTTCCAGGGTTATATGCACCGGACGCCACTACAACTTTGAAAGAGGGTTCAACGTTCAATCCAGATCGGGAGCCCCTCACGAATCTGTCCCAGTGTAAGTGTGCAGAGGAAGTAGGTGTACCGTAATGTCTGGCATGCATGTGGAGCCTCGTAGTACATGTCGTACGTTGCCTCCAATCGGATCATCTACAGCATTCTCCACAGTAGAACCACTAAACGTTATTTCAAGACGGCATGTTACAATCGGCCCGAAACTAGAACCTTTTGTGTGTTAAATCGTAGCACTCCGTCTCAGTGGGCATGATGATTGGACTCTCAAAAGAGCTTCCATTCTTCTTATGAATGGTTCTGGCGCAATGCTGGTTTCAGGTTTATTATAAGCAGCAGCTACTTATATCAAATGCGACGGGCAAACCCTAAGCGCTGGCACTAGCGAACAATAGACCCGTGATTTAGCTTGACACCAGTTATAGGTGGTCTTCGACGGTAAGGGTTAGTCACCAATTTGTAGAACCAGCTTATGATGCCGATGTCCTAGATGAATCTCTTGTCAATCGGTCTCCTAGCCTTAACAGCCGTCTGTCCTCTAAGCACACGAGCCACCCCTGCCTCACTGACGAGTGACACTGTCTGGTGCAATGGTGTTTGGGCAGGATGTGGCAATCAGTGTCCAGGGCACTTTGAAACTCGCCGATCGTGCACCGAAAATGGGAACAAGACAGTGGAATATTGGTGCTGTTATGACTGACGGAGTCACTGGCACAGGAAGAAATGTGGGAAGTGTGGGAAAAACATCGCACAACGCAGATGAGGGGTCTTCGCAGTCCGGAGATGTGAGCGATGAAACATTGCCACAAAGCACGTACTGGGCACAAAATAGATGAAATATGCTTCCAATCATCGGGTTGTCTGAAGGAATATTATTCCGTGATTTTCTATAATACAGATCGCGCGCGAGGATGAATGTGCAATCAGAACAATGGCAGCAGGCATGAATTAAGATGACGTGAGAGGGCGGATAAGGGGGTATATGAGATATACAAGGGCAACCACACAACGAACTCAAAATGTGTTCGCCCAAACCTCAAGATCGAACCTTGATGCTCTAGCACTGTCTATCCAAGAATGTTTCTGGGTGACACAGTCAGAAGGACACGACGGATCCAACAAATAAGAAGGCAGTACCAAAAGATCCTTGGGCGTGTTTCGCGCATCAGGGTCCTTGAGCAGACAGCTGTCGACGAAGTCTTCTGCTTCCTGAGGGAAACGCCCTTCTGGGGTCAGTCGCGGGGCAGGCTCATTAACGATATGCTGGAGTAGTTCCAATATGCTCATCATCATTCCACCTCCCTGTAGGCTGACACCCTTGCTCTTCCGCTTGTCCTTCTTTGACGTCTTATCTTTCTCTTTCTTCGGTGGAAGTCCGATGGAACCAGGCGACAAGGTACCTTCAAAGTCGGAAAGGTCAGAGTCATCCGGGTCTGAATCGGCAAAGGGGAACCGTCCTAGGGCAAGTTCTATGAGAGAAATGCCTAAAGACCACACATCGGACTTGACGGTGTATTGTGCGCCCTGTATCCGCTCGGGCTGTTTGGGATAACCTTATAGATTTGGTAAAGAAGACGCAAGGAATACAGACGCACACTCATATAGGTTGAGGTTCCTACGAAGGTATCGGCGATAGAATTTATGAGTTCACCAGAAACACCGAAGTCGCATATCTTGATTTGACCTTGTGAGTTGCACAAGATATTCGACGGCTTGATATCTGACGCGAACGTCAACCTCAACGGAAAAAAAACAAAGCTGTCCGTGTGTAAGCTCACCACGATGAATTATTCGGTGTACGTCGTATAGGTAAGTCAAGCCTTCGAGCACGGCTAACGCAACTTTGGAGACGACCTCGATGTCGATGGCACCGATTTTCTTGTAAATTCCATCAAGAGAACCCTTGTCCATGAACTCCATGCAGATGCAGATATTTGGATCAGAAAGAAATGCGCCATAGAATGAGATAATGTATGGCGAATGGCAATCATGCATAATGTGGAGTTCGCGGAGAATCTGCTTCCGCACAGAAGGCTTCGCGTCAATGAGAACAATCTAGAAGTAACAGTTAAAAAAGACATAGATCTAACACATTAAAATACTTGCCTTCTTGGCCATAATGGTGTTAGTGGGTGTATGTTCTACCTTTTTGACGCTTCCGCCGTTGCCTTGGCCAAGCTCCTGAAGGTCTTTCAGATCCTCATTACGAAGATCGTAACGCATCTCGGCATTCATATCAAGGTTTGCTAGCGTGTTGGAAAGGGTAGTGTGGTATGTATTTCTCCGCGTATTTGCGGAAGCTGAGGGAATAGTGGAAGTAGGCGCGCCTGGTGTATTCGCAAGATTTCCGTCTGGATCCTGAACAACGTTAGATACTCCCAATTTGGGGGCGTTGAGAGTCATAGGCGGGGGTCGTTTCTTGCCCTTCGCCGCTGTAGTTGCGGGAGCAGCCCTTATGGGGACTGGCTCTGGTTCCTTTGGTTTCGCGGGCACATCGAGCTGCAAAGCCTTGAAGTTGCGCTTCTTGCGGATTGGTGTAGCCATGTATTAACTTCTTGATCAACAAGGCCAGCTTCCGCAACTCTTGCAAGGCTGAGCACAAGCAGTACTTTGCTTCAGTGTCCAGAACGTTCAAAACTCCGAGTCGACATATTAGAATTAGAAGCTCACGTAGATTACATAAGCCACATGTACATTTTGCATCAATCATTCAAATTGTCTGTGGACTGCCTTGATGTGCATCTGTCGCACTGTATCTCGCTATTGCAAAACATTCAAACCTTGGCTTTATCAGAGCTCGACGCGTTCTAGCTGCAATAATCACAGTACTATCACAGTATCTTGTTTGCAAAAGCTCTTTCAGTGACCGTTGCAGTCACACGGTTTGGCAGTTTGACTGCGGCAGACACGCCAGTTTCATCATGATTTACTTTTTATCGTGAGTTTCCTTGAACGGCGTGTACTGTTATGGATCTATCATATATAAACCAAGCGTGGAACTGCACGCCATGCGGTCCAGCGGATCTATGGAACGAGTGGCGCGTCTTTTGCCACCAGCTTGGCTCTCTCTTCAGATAGGGCAGACGCACCTAGTAGTCATCGCTTGTCTCCAAGATACAAAGCACTGTTTGTCAAACATGTAGCCTACTTTTTCTCATGCGCTGATAAGAAGTCTTCTGTGCCCACAGCTTACAGGAGCATTCCTTATAGAGACCATGACATCTGGCTCCCGCGTAGCATATGTGAGAACGTTGTTGAGCGCCCATCACAATATCCAACGTATGAAATACCACCATACGCGTCTATTACTAGTAGGTCCGAGTCTTTTGTCTGGCATCATTCACTGTTCAGGTACATTTTTGCGCCCAGTCATGACAACGCATGATGCAAATCTGGTTCTGGGCTCCGCCGTCAACCCCGTTATTGCGCGCTGTTTGAACCCTGTACGATCCTTGGGCCCTCAGGCTTGTCTGGATCGGTTAGTTGTTATGTATTCCAACGCCTTTGGTGCACGTTCCACAAGGTTTTACATCAAAGGTACTTGCCTCGTTTGATCGATGGTCATACAGCTAATTTGGCGGACTTAAGTCACTACAGGACGGAGGCCATGCACCTTCCATGGCTGCATGAAATATCACTTTGAACTGAGCTCATATGCAGCACTTCTCCATTTAGGCATGGTAGTTTCATCTTTACCTAACCGGTGCCTAACATACGTTGGAATGAAACACCTTCGATATCAGATTTGATTAAGAGAGTTAATAGGTCGCTCCAACTCTGCCCGCCTAATATACGGACACGTCGCACTAACGCAGACTATTGCCTACCGACACTTCTGATAACATCCCCTGCAAGATCATTCAAGAATATTCTTGGGCTGATACAGTGGACATCCGCGTGGGCAACTTGAGACGGAAGACGACTAAATACAATTTCTATCAAGCCGGCGCTTCTTCAACACGCGTGACGCGGTGCAGTTGATCAAGACACCGCCCGAGGTCAGTGATCAACTGAATAGAGTCCCGCTTGGCACCCTGTCAAACTTCCTCACAATAGATTTCAGTAAGTGTCTTCACAGTACATCAATCCTGACTCGCACTAAGTTAACCCTCAAGCCCATCGCTCATAAAAGACTCCACGGCAGAGTCTATGCGACGTCGTAGATTACAGCGGCATTTTGATGCTGAGTGTCGTCAGCCCCACTCGCGATGCATAGAGAGCATACGTGTTGTGCTTCTTGAGAGCCTAATATAAGTCCTCGATCAACATGATCGGACAAATGTTTCACTCAACGGTCTTGTTGGTGTTGGAAAAACTTTCATGGCGTTCACCATTGCTGAGGAGATGTAAGCAGCCAAAAGGCTTGCTGCAACTTTCTCCTCACAGAATCATGCACAAAGTGCTACGGCTGCTGGCGCGATTATTCCTGCCATCACGTACCAATTGGCACTGGCTTTCCCTCGCATTCGAGGAGAGGTCGTGATGGCGGTCGAGAGCGACGAGATGCTCCTCTTCCCTGGAAAATATTGCCGTGATCAATCGAAGGGGTTGGTCATCAAACCACTACACACCTTGAAATTTCGACAAGAGACGCCTTACATATATTTGATGCCCCAGATGAATGCTTTTCATCTGAGGAGGCAGCAAGGCTAGTTATGCCGTTGGCAGACATGTTCGCTGGCCCATACTTGCTCAACACCCACCTGATATTCACAACAATGATATCCGAATTTCCATGCAAGCCAGTGTCCACGAAAATTTTCCCACCACCGATGATCGAAACACCATACAGGATGTCGGTTTCTATTATGTTCATTGTTTAGTGAGTCATGCATCCTAATTAACATTGATTAGAAGCGGATCAGGGGCTTGTCAGACATTGCGGCTGCCCATACTGATAAAGCCTCGAAACAAGCAGAGGAATCGTGGAAAGCTCATCTCAAAGTCAGGCAGTACTCGGTGGGTGAACGCGAACGCGATCATATCATGTCTGCTTACCTGACTCTCTGTAGCTCTATTATAGACACTGATGTCACGGTGCACATTACAACCACAGAAGTGACTACCTCCCAAATCGACTGACGTCTCGATGCCCTGTGCTCTGGCAAAATATATCATACTAGCAAAGAGCGCTATCGACATCGTAGCAGCAGTGAGCCACCAATCCCCGACTCCAATGGGACTGTAGTCGACAATAGCAGACTGTCCAGACAACTGGCATATATTTGCAGCTTGATTATCTTCATCTCTCTGATCCCAAACGGAAAAGGAGTGGGTATGTGCCCGGAATATTATAAATGAGATTAGGATTGTTGTATTCACAGTTTACCGTCAAATTCCCACGAACGCAGATTCGCAACGTTTCTGCCTGTGAAAACCCTCTCCACCAACTTAGTGGGGTCGAGAAAGAGTTCAGGAGGTCTACTATTTTCACAATCGAGTTAGGCTCGTGATACACGATTGCGTCTTTGCCTCATGTCAATTTACAAATATTGCGTGAACTGTATCTGCGATGCAATGAAGTACATATATAGGTCTATGCGTGACGAGGTCCAAAACCGGTTCAAAGAGCAATCCCACCTGGCTCTTGCGACTCATATCCCTTGTGATCCAAATCATGTTCCGATTCTTCCTCCACCGTACCCACGCTCGGGCGCGGCGATATCGGTGATGTTGGATGTTGTATTGTGCCCGAGTTAGATAACGAATCTGTGGATGTTACACTCGAGCGAGACACGGAAAACCGTGAAGCGCGACCGGACCAGAAAGACTGTATACCTGCACCCCAGTTTCCCAACGCTGCCTTCGCATCCGACGCGGCTTGCGCGACACTTACAGGCCGCGTAGACACACCTAATACAGATTCTCTCGACGTCTGTCTACTGATATTAGAAGTGGGCTTGCTCCCCTCAGAAGCGGGGGATGAAGACAGTCCCACTTCTGATTTTGAGACCTTCATTGGGGTCTCACACACGCTACTCGCAAGATCGGAGTTGAACGAAACAGAGCTGGCTGTGCGCTGCTGCTGCCACCGCCCACGGACGCCTTCGACCGCTTTGAAGAAGTTCGTTGAGCTGGCGGTGATAGTGCGTGAAATGGCGTCTCGGGTCGGAGCTAGTTGTTGCTCCAGTTTCAGTTCTTGAAGTCCTTCGGACAACCGTATTCCAATGTCTCCAACGACAGAAGGCTTCTCGTTGCACGGGTGACTGTCGGAGTAAAACTAAGTGTTTGAGAAAATTATTGAAACAAGTTGTCTAACCGTGGCTCGACAATGTCGAAGAGCATGGGGTCTGTAGACCTCTGCCACACATCATATGCATTCGTCTTGGTGAACTCGGCGATCCAAAGTGGATTAAAGTCGTCGATCGAGTTATCATCTCCTCCTACACGAATGTTGTGAGTGTTGATTATTGTTGTACACGCTCGACACTTACCTGTTCCAGTAATAATCACATTGTTCACTTTCCCTTTTGCAAGGAACTCTCGATATCGAACAGATGCAAGTGCAGCGGAAACGTACTCTTCAAACTACAAAATTTAAGTCAAAGCGCATCTGACACATAAGCTAGCCCAACCTTGGCTCGCAGGTAATCATCACTGCCTTTGAAGCTGTCAGACATATCAGAACCGGAACCGGGCAATTGCATAAGGTAACACACTGCATGGTAGGCTTCATTGGATCTGCATCGTCCCAAGCATCATTGACGTCTCGAACGATCTCATCCATCCATTTTCGGTCGGCAGCTGTGAGGCCCATTAGCCGTTCCAGCCTAGGATTTCGAAACTCTAGTGTGGCTGTTTCCGTCTATAAACCAAAGGTGAACTTCGAGTTGCTTCGATGGCATCTGAAGACCAACATTTATAAGCAACTCAATCTCCTTTTGTTGAGTCACGATGGTGTTCGTACTCCCGCATAGCCAGCCTTGTGAATCCTTTAGAAGGTCCAACTGTTGCAAGGGCAAGTACGGTTGTAAGAACGCATCCTAGACCGCATGGTCAGCTTTGTACACTATAGTGCAACGCAGAGCATACCTTGCCAAAAATATCTAGCGGTAGACCCATGTATGCCATCATACTTTTACGATCTGAAGTTCGTAACGACTGTGGACACGAAAGTGTGGGTGCACGTGTAGCGAGAGGCGGGGATCCGGAATCCTCCAGCGTTTGCAATAAGCCTGAATCCAAATTTGAGGGTCAGGAAAAGAAAGGACATATGAATCATTACCAGGGATCAATGATATGAGCGAGTACTGGTAAGTACACAATCGTTCCACTGGGTGGCCAAAGAACATAATCTAGACTATATTTAATACGGACCGTGTGTTCGATGTTTATAACAGACCTTTTTCTGACACATGAGGGCTTTCAATAGAATAAGCGTGCGATGGCGGAAGGTGTGGACAAACTCTCGGCTACCCACGTCAGCTTCTCAGGATGGTCAGTACTGCGCAACTTACATGCTTGTGCCTGCATAAATATGAGGAGATCAGATATACCAAATCGTCTCGATGAGCTCTCCTGACACACCAATATATAATCCGCTTTCCGTTAGCTGTGTGCGAAGGGAGATTTCCAGCGACGCGCCGAAATCTACCAGAATACTGGTATCCGAGAAGTCGCTTATCAAGTAACGTTAGAATTGGTTCATTAAGGTGACGTTCAAGCTCACCGTTGCTCGAACAGCGCGCGTGTAACGACACCCAAGCGATCCCTAATAAGTCATATAGTGAAAGGGTATGCACGCGGCGTTGCAGACCAACCGAATGGGGCCAAAAACTGGCTTCGATGCCAGGACCACGACAGCCTTTTGAACAATTGACCGAGTCACATCTACATCTTTAACAAGTAATACCGAGGCTGGTATTTGGCGATTGCATCTGTAGACCAAAAGTTAGGGTCCGACACGCATACAACGATTTGGAATAATTCGTACGAGATGCCAAAAATCGTGGTAGGTATTGGAGAATTTGGAACAAGATGAAAGTAAGAATAATCTTCCAGAGACTGCATGAGGTTGTTCATGAGAGCAAGTTTTGCACACACTTCGTTGTGCTCACCAGATGTGCGCCGTCTGGAAGGGCTAGGAAGGGAAGTATCCTGACGATCTCTTCATCTTTGAAAATGTCTCCATGGCAGAACTCAATCTTCGGACCAACCTGAGTTACATATAAGCTTCCAAAGTAGTGCAAGCATGTTCAATCATCATACCAGATGATTGAAGTCTATAAGTGCAATGCCCAGGACTAATGGGCCTTCCGGAGGTTGTAGCAACATAGACTCCGGCCGTGCTTTCTTCGAATATGAAGAAGCTGCAGAAGTGAATGAATCTGTGTCCGTTGCACCTGATGAAGGAGTTGGCGGATAAGTTACAGCATGTGGCGTGTTGTATTTCGGTTCGTCAAACAGAGCTGCAGAAGGAGTCGGGGATGTAATCGAACTAGCACGCCGAGCGTTCCTCTCGCTGAAGGAGTCGCTTACATCGTCCGTTTCTGAGTTGAAATCAATCTCTAGAGAGTCATCCTGTGATCCACGTCTATCAAAAATATCTTGAGCGCGTAGAGTGGTATTGGGCTCGTGTCCTGGCGAATGTGGAGGGGATGAAAGAGAAATTGAGCGTTGAGAAGCAGTATCGGCATCGGCATCGTCGTTTTCGCTTTCGTCTTCGAATTCACTGTGATTATTTACGATAGAACCATCAGCGACATGTTCGTCAAAATCAATCCTTTCAGTGCTGGACATGTCGAATATTGACGACGTGATTGGTGAAGACAGCTGTGTAAGCGAGTCAGAAGCGCCAATCACGGCGCAAACCTATCATGGCACTCACGTGCGGTTGTCATCGCGCGCTCGCATTGGCTCGCATCAATGTGGCAGTCCACGAGTCTGAGAAACGAATACGCTGCGTTTTACCAGAACCAGCGTGTCCTTGAACAAGTTGTCCTGAACACTGAAGTTTTAGTCCCATCATGATCAAGTCTGGCGTCATTCTTCTTGTTTTGGCTACTTCTGCGCTGGCACTCCCCACCCGTTTCATGGATACCTTATTACAGTCCATCTTCGGGACTACGTTAGATCTTCCCAAAGCTGAGATTGGTTGGACCGATCCACGTCTCAATGGTGGACGGTTTCTAGACGTAAGTGCATCATAAACTTGCATGATCCTCCTCACGTTTACTTGCAGTTCACGACACCTAAATACGGGGAACCGCTAAATGTTATCATATCTAACCAGTCAGATCCCTTTATTTTGACGGATGCTGGCTTTCGTCTGTATTACAAGTGAGCTGCCTGCAACTCTATGCTTGAGCCTCATTGATGTGCCCTGCAAGGTCCATCGGGTTTTCCGAGGAGTGTTTAGGGCTCCATTATGGTCATATCCACACGGCAGACCTCGGTGACGGCGACGAGAAGAAATCTGAGCATATTCTAGCAAGGCAACACTACTTCCCTATGTGGGGAACATGCTGGGAAAGTATAGCAGGTTCGTCTTCCTCCACGTTCCGTCAAATCTTTCGTGATTCGGTATTCAGGAGGAAACCACTTCCGCGCTTGGAAGCAGAATGGCTCAGAAATCGACACGGGAGCGTGGTTTTTGGCGTAAGCACCACCACCTCGCTTCTAGTTACGACGACTGACACTCCATTCCTAGTGTCTCCAAGGAAATGGTGAGTGGAACGTGAGCAGAACTTAGGAACCATATTTCATCTCCGGCAGGATTCCACTAAAAACCATATGATAATTCCGGACGGATATAACATCGGTCGTGATTTACTTGTCGAAGCTGCCGCATCAGTCAGTCATTGGAATGGCAGGTGGTGGCAAGCTGATGTGGAGTGGCGAAGAGGTCTTCTCGAACCAGGACACACAGGTCAGCAGCTTCCTCTCCTCTGCGTGGTCGTTCTTGACTTGCCATCCAGGAATCAATCATGCCATTGCACAAGATGGGCGCATTGCGATCTTGACCGTCAATCGACTATAATTGTCGCATTATATTCAATTTGTCTATTGTTGTCAGTTTGGACAATGGGGTTGGTGTTGTATTATATACCGTGTGTATGGGACGTTACCCTGTTATTTACATTGTACGCATGTCTATAGTTTCTGTCGCTAGTACATATCCTTATTGTCATGCCTACCCCTGACGATCGCTGACAGACCGAAATCCACCTATTTCATTACAATTACAACAGCTGGTATACAATCGTACCGAAAAATGTAGAACAAATGTGGGTAACAAACAAGGAGTGCATGATTAAATAACTTCCGACGATGCAAATGAATACCGACCACACCACCAACATACCACCTCCGAGTCCGTTAACCAGAGCACATGAGGCAGGCCTCCTTGTTCTCAAGCGAGCACAACATTTTTGCCTCTTCGAGCTCGCGTTCCCTTTGACGCTGAAGGGCAGCGGCGTACTCAGGGTCAACGTCGGTAGCTTCACTGGGGCCCGACGAACTCGGTACAACACCATTGTCATTCGAATTAGATGGTGGAGGGACTCGGCGAGGAGGGGATGGAGAAGCGGAAGGGGTAGGAATGCCAGTGGCAGCCTTGTCGGATTCGCCCTGTTGCACCTTGGCTGCTTTGAGCACGCTCTGGTCGATGGTGAACTGAACAGCTTGCGCCGCCGGACGAGTGCGCAAATAGTACATGCCAGTCTTAAGGCCCTTCTTCCAGCCATAGAAGTGCATACTCGTCAGTTGGCCTATGGTAGGCGACTGCAAGTGAATGTTCAAACTCTGACTCTGACAAATGAACGCTCCACGGTCGGCAGCAAGGTCGATGACCTTCTTCTGCGAAATCTCCCAAACGGTTTTGTAAATGGCTTTTGTATCATTTGGTATGCTGGGGATGTTGGCAACGGAGCCATTATGAGCAATGATCATGTTCTTCATGTCGTCATTCCAGAGCCCACGGTCGACAAGGTCCCTGAGTAGCCAGGGACATACAACCTGGAATTCACCAGCGAGGACACGACGAGTGTAGATATTACTGATGGAACGCGTCAGCTTGCACAACGTGACAAGGAAGTCAAAGGTACCTAGTGTAGGGTTCGAAGCATTCATTGAAACCTAGAATTTGACTAGTTGATGCAGTCGGCATGGGTGCAACCAACAGTGAATTTCGCAATCCAGTTTGTGCGATCTTTTCCTTGAGACTGGTCCAGTCCCAAAGGTCAGTGGGCGTGACACCCCAGAGATCATACTGTAGTTGACCGAGATCGGCGGGACTACCCCTGAAAGTTTCGTATGGTCCATCCCTTTCAGCTTCCTCACAGCTAGCCTCGAGTCCAGCATGATAGATGGTTTCGAAGATCTGAAGATTGAGTTGCCTTGCCTCAGGTGAGTCAAATGGCAGACGGAGGATCATGAAAGCATCTGCGAGACCCTGAACACCAAGACCAATAGGGCGATGACGCATGTTGGAAGTGCGAGCCTCCGGAACGGGGTAGTAATTTACATCGATGATGCGGTTGAGGTTGCGGGTGACGACCTTCACAACATCATGAAGCTTTTGGAAATCGTACTTGCCGTTCGAGATGAAAGTAGGGAGGGCGAGAGAGGCAAGGTTACAGACGGCGGTTTCTTCCGGTGACGAGTACTCTATGATTTCAGTGCACAAGTTGGAGGACTTGATGGTGCCCAAGTTCTTTTGATTCGATTTGCCTACGGATGACTGTGAGCAAGGAAAGTGTCACGAATGACTTCGACGTACGGTTAGCGGAATCTTTGTAGACCATGAAAGGACCACCAGTCTCGATCTGAGCTTCAAGGATAGCATACCACAGCTTTTGAGCTGAAATAACCTTTTGTGCGCGTCCCTCTTTCTCGTACTTCTCATAGAGGGCTTCAAATTCCTCGCCGTGAACCTCGTGAAGACCGGGCGCTTCGTTTGGGCAGAACAGCGACCAGTTTTCATTGGATTCGACGCGTTTCATGCTAATGAGGGAGGGTTAGAGTAGTGACAAAATCACAATTGAACACATACAACAGGTCACAAATCCACAGTGCGTAGAACAAATCACGGGCGCGTGACTCCTCTTTACCGTGGTTCTTCCTGAGGTCGAGGAAATCGAATATGTCAGGGTGCCATGGTTCAAGGTAAATCGCAAAAGCTCCCGGTCGCTTGTTGCCACCTTGATCGACATAACGTGCCGTGGCATCATACGCGCGAAGCATAGGAACAATACCGTTGGAGTAACCGTTTGTTCCAGCAATGTATGAACTGTAAGGCAAAATATTACTAATTGAGCAATGCCATGAATTAATTTGGCGCACCCAGTAGCACGAATACAATGAATACTCAAACCGATTCCACCTGCGGTCTTGCTGATCATGGCACAGGTCTTGAGGGTGTCATAGATACCCTCTATGGAGTCATCTTTCATGCACACCAGGAAGCATGAACTTAGTTGGGGATGGGGAGTGCCAGCATTAAACAAAGTTGGTGACGCGTGTGTAAAGAATCGTTCAGACATAAGGTTATACGTCTCGATGACGCTCTCAATATCATTCTTGTGGATACCGACAGCAACACGCATGATCATATGTTGGGGACGTTCGGCAACACGACCATTGATCCTGAGAAGATACGACCGCTCGAGAGTCTTGAAGCCAAAGCTGAAAAGAATCAGTACAATAACATCATGCATCTTGATGATCATGCTCACTAGTTGTAGCTAAAGTCACGATCATAGATGATTGCAGAATCAAGACGAGCAGCATTCTTTTGCACGACCTCATATATATCATCGGCAATCATACTAGCAGGCCTTCCATTCTTGGGATTGACTTGACGAAGAAAAGTCAAACAAGTCGAATACCAAAAGATGTGGAAACATACTATATTCGTAGAGGTCTTTCACGACAGTGGAGAAGTTCTTCTTGGTTTCCTTGTGGAGATTTGATATTGCGATACGCGCAGCGAGGACAGCGTAGTCAGGGTGCTTCGTAGTAAGATAGGCTGCTGTTTCGGCGGCAAGATTCTATCTCGGATCAACGAGTGAACAACACAGAATATTATATAAACACTTACATCGAGTTCGACGGTTGTGACGCCTTGGTATACACCTGCGATGACCTTTTTGGCAACCCTGTAGAAGAATTAGTTACAAATAAGTAACGAAACTGTTAACTAACTCAATGGGCTCGACATAGTTAAGGTCAAGGCCATAACAGAGCTTGTTTATTCTTGCTGTGATCTACCAGGCGGTGAGCGATGCACTACACAACTTAGTAGGCTTATACTTTGTCAAATTTAACATCCTCTTTGCGGCTATACGTGAATAACGCGTCAGATGATGTTGAAACGGATCTTCTCGCGTGCGTTTGCTTACCCATCTGTGCAGAGGAACACGCAGATCAGCTACCATACGGTGACCAGACTTAGGGGCGACTGACCTCTTTTGAAGACGAAAGCCATGCTAAATCGCTCCTCAAAGATTGAAATTAAGCAGGAGGAGAATGGTAAAAAGGTGAGTCTGGTGGTGGGCGAGATGAAGGAAAGGAAAGACGCGTCGCGAAGAATTTAAGTGGCGTGTGCATTACTCAGCCAAACAACCCAGATAGGATACCGTGTCACGCATCGATGTGTTCAGCAACCAAGAATTAAACGAGTGTAAATTCAATTTAAATGCGCGCTCTTCTCATACTGTGCAGTTTAAACTGTTCAGGCTGAACCGTACATTGTGCATAGATCAAAGCGTGAAATGAGACTGAAAGTAATGAGTTTCTGGTATGTTTGCTTAAAATGTCACACTAGGTCAGACACGCTAATCAACAAAAATCGCGTACCGCGTTATTTTGGCTTGCTTGCGTGGGCATCCAAGTCTCTGACTCAATCTTATTCACAGCCCATCTTTCGGACCCGCAACCAGGTCTCGTGATGCCACACACTCAACAGATTCACGCTGGCGACCCTGCGTATGCTTCTCCTGTAATTCGTCCTCCTTCTCCTGCAAGTTCTGTGGGAACCGCATACGGACCTGATGACACGTCTCTATCTGACTCAGGATTGAGTCAGGATGTTTTCGAGCGAAAGGCGATCGCCAACCTTCGACTTGATGAGCCGAAACATGATGAAGTTCATAACTTGAAAGATCCCTTGATTATTTGTCCTAGCGATCCGCAAGAACAGAAGCGTGTGTTGAACTTCACCCTCGTTTTGCTAGTTCCTTTGTTGATCGCACCGGTTAGTGCTGTTTGAAGAAATATTGTGTGGCTTTCGACAGCGTGTTCAACAGTTGGAGGAGGATGAAATATTCCAGCAAGCAGTCACAAACGGTTCTCAAATTGGAAAGGAGCAACTGCCTTCAGCTGACAACGTGGAGAACTTGATACAGAACATGATGGGCACCTCAATAGGAAACGAGGCAAGCCACGTACAAGATGGTCCTTGGAATAGGCGCAACACTGCTCATGCAACTTCCACTTCTAGCAGCATGAGGACCGCGGCCGGGAAAGGCCGACCAGGGCAATACTGACTCATCGTGACCGTTTCCACCCTATTCTATGAACCTGCTCACACAATGTACTAGAGTTTGTATAATATCCAGCAGTACGTATGAAATGTACTCTATCGAGTAGGACAGACATTAATATTCACCACCTTCTGTGAAATAATCCGGCAGCGCTTGCTGAATCTGTTTCACCTTCTCGTGGATAGACCGTCGTGCCGCAGACTTGCAATCATGGTGCATATATGTTGCAGATCCCCACTTGTCAAACTCCTTGACAATGATCCCCAATCTCCCGAGGACATTTGCGCAGTCGAGGTTTAACACGCCTTCTGACCTCGTCTTCTCCTTCCAGAAATCTGTCCAGCTCTGAGTGCATCCATGTTGGTGCCACGTCGCACCGCAGGACGGTGCGTGTTCGAACTGCGGAGGAACAGCACGCAACCTGTCCCATGCTCTAGAAAGGCGGTGATATCCCGACAGAAGTCTCAGCTGCTGCATCGGGCTGACCACCAACCGCTGCGGCCCCTCACTCGTTTCCTGAACGTCACCCTCCACGTATGTGTCACTATTACCCGCTCCGGGGCAGACAAAGACCGACGTTTGCATGACTTCGAGATACGCCGCGCCTCGCAGGTCCCTAAGGTTAAACTCATCTGCGAGGGTCATGGCCAGATATGAATAATGCAAAGAACCGGACATTAGCTTTTGAAGAAGTTGAATCATGGTGTCCATCAGGCGTGAGTGCGAACACATCTGGGCAAGTCGGATCAGGCGAGCGATTTGTCCTTCACTTTCCAAAAGAGCCGAAGAGCGAGTGCTTAATGTCGGGAACATGCGTATTAGAGGATTGTCGTTAAACAGGGGGGACATGTTCCGTTCAAGGTACTCTTGAATTGCGTCCAATGCCCATGTTTCTGTCGACTTGAAAGAGTACTTGCTGGACACCTTGGCGATGTCTATCAGTCGGCTAAGATCGGCTTTTGGAGACCGGACTATTGTTAGTTCTGAGGGTCTGTTGCAAGCCGAGACTCAAATATGAGAAGGGTGAACCCTGCAGGCGCTTAGATGACACTCACAAGGCATAGAGCGCCCAGAGGAAATGTTTGAACTCCTCCGCAGTATCTCCCTGCAGAACGATGGGATGGTCGTCCGACATCCCTTCTTCGAATTCACCCTGCGGAAGCGTAAACATAGGCCCGAAGAATGACTGATCCTTGGACAAGATTGAGCGATGGACCTAATCATGCACTACAAATCAGCACATGGGCATGAATCTCACTTCAGATCATACTTTGAATATTGTGTTCTGCACACGAAGAACGCAGCTCCCGTCAGCCATGTAGTATGCATCGTCCCTTACGGGACCCTCCGATTCCTCCGAAACCATGATAAGTTGGCCAGACTCAGATGCTGTGATATCAATGCTGCTAGTATGGCGCGCTCGCTTTCGCAGTGGTGATTGCGTGTGTTGGTCTTCTATCATTATGTCTGGCTCTGGAGAGTATTCATGTACCGGGATGAATGGCGTAACGGGGCTGTTCATCGTTGCGGTCCGAAAAAGCAAAAGGTAGGTAGTAAATATAATATTAATGTCCCGCATTTCATTGTCAAGACAAATTAACTATTGATAGATCAGTAAAACCACCGAGATTGTTATACTTGTATGTTTTGATTCGGCACGGTGTCGGATGCATGCTACTATTAGGTGGGACAAAGTTGGGATGACTTCTGATCATACTTCCCTCTCACGGTACCGTTTCATTCCCACTCGCAGCTATGTCGTCTGGTACCGTCACTCTCAACGATGGAAATGAGGTATCATATTAATTATGAAAGTTTGCATTACCGTGTCAAGACCTGATATGTTCTGTGCTGCATCCCAGTTCCCCATAATAGCCTTTGGCACGGGATCCACCATGAAATTCAAGGATGTCACAGACTACGTGGGCCAGGCCATCGAGAATGGATTTTCCCATATCGACACCGCACAGTGTATGTCACTTCTAAGTTCTAATTGCAACGATTATTGGAATCTCATGTGCTCTGGGAAAAGTTTATCAGACAGAAACCTACGTGGGCCTTGCTATCAAGGAGAGCGGTCTTCCCCGCTCGAGTCTGTATATCACTACCAAGTACAGCATTGGTGGATCACCACGGAAGGCTATTCAACAAAGTTTGAACAAGGTTAGGCCTCACATACCACTCGCGAGTTAGTGACTTACTGCAGGGACTTAATCATACGTTTGCTCAGATTGGCCTCTCTTATGTTGATTTGTATCTGGTCCACTCTCCGAGAGCCCTTTCTGACTTTGAATCTGGGTGGCAAGAATTTGAGAAGATGAAGAAAGATGGCTTGACAAGGTGTGCCCTTTGCGACTGGACAAGTATTCGTTGGTCTTCACAGCTATCAGGAGTATTGGTGTCAGCAACTTTACTCTAGAGGACCTCCAGAAACTCTCGAAGACTGCGGTTACGAAACCTGCTGTTAACCAAGTAAATTTCTCTAGCTGAACCAGACACGAAATACAACCAACGGACCTTGATGCGCAGATTTCATTCCACCCATATAATTATGCCTCGCACAAAGCTTTGCTCGTGTACTGCGCAAAGCAGAGTATCACGGTAGAAGCATATGGAAGTTTGAAGTGAGTCCTCAGACTGCTCCTAATAATTCGTTGCTCCAAAATGGAACCATGCTGATTTCTGCATGGCCAGCTCTATCACGCAGAAACCTGGAGGACCGGTCGATGCCGTAGTCAACGCCGCTGCTAAGCGTATAGGAGCAACTCCGAATCAGGTCATTTTCTCCTGGGTCAGAAGTAAAGGTGTAGCAATCGTCACGTATGTCCATCTACTTTCCATGTAATATTGGTGTCTCATGCCACTCCCATTACTGAAGGACGAGCCGGAGTAAGGAACGCCTTCAAGAGTACCTTGCCGTTGAAGATCTTCGTATGTCTCGAATCAAGAAATGTGACGTTAATCTAATTCAGATCATAAAGCCCCACTCACCGCTGAGGAAATCGCTGCCATCGATGACGCCGGTGCTAAAGGCCCTCCCTCCCGGTTGGTTGTTGCGAGGCTTGCAATGCAACACAAATTCGAAAGGTCTTCATCATTGGTCATGTGGCTGGCTATTGCAATCATATTTGGCTTTGCAACGTTTTTCGTTGCGAGAGCCAAAGCACTCGATTGACTGTTCGATGGTTGCATCCTGTCACTTGTGTGCTTGTTTCGCAGCCTCTGGTATATGTCGACAGTTTTCGTGCATGATGATAGTCAGCAGTTGTACTAGTACTACCCAAGCAATGATGACAACTTACAAAAGTAGCTAGCTGGGAACTCCTCGTATCTGACGAGTTACACCGAAAACCAACACAAGCACTTAACGAGACAAGATAGATAATGGATGATCGGAGTGACCCTGCGGACGAAATGCAAGGGCTTCGCGGAAGAGAGAAGTGATAGAGTCGATGTCTTGAAAATCCTTTCGAATGTAGCCTTCAGATCGGGCCCACGCGAGGTGGGTGAGAGCCGCTGCCCGGTGAAGATGCCAGACCGGGCATTGATCCAGGACCGACTGAAAATGCTGCACGACATCGTTCAAATGAGCGACCGTCTTGCTTGTCACATATGTGACAAATTGTACATGGCCCGCATCCGTATATCAGGTAATCCGGCATCCAACGATGGACTACAGAAGGTGTTCCGTCAACAAAAGCTAACACCGCAGAGGCTAATATCACTCACGTCAAGCAAAGCATTGTCCTGATTGTCGCAAATGCGTAGAACTGTGGCCATCAGTGTGAGAGAAGGGCGAAGACCACAAACGGAAGGAGATGCCTACTATATGTGAGTATATGCGCATGAGTGAGAAGGAGGTTACTCACAGAAAGGCTCGTTTCCATGATCGAGCAGCGCATCCCATGATATTTTCCAACAACTTCTGCATTACCCAGTATGCGATCGAGCTCGAAGGGAGCCCTGTTCTCCACTGATAACATAGGCGATGCATCTAATGATCTACAAAGAAAAGATCAGTCCTCGAGTCGTGTCTGAAAGCTTCGAAGAACTTCTACAAGGTCACAGTATCGCGCCACGTTATAGATTCGTCGGATGATAAGACTCCGATGGTTGATTTCCAGCGCCTGCTCGATTCGAGATTGATGGATACGTAGATGCCTGCGGGAATGCGCCAGGAGGGAACTTTGATATTTTTTTCCGCTGATAACGTAAATAGATGTAAGGATCACCAAACGGATGCGAAGTTGATATGGAGTGACTCACCTTCAAGTCTGATCTATCTGCCTTCTTATCTACCGGGCATGACAGTGTGATGAAGGAAAACGACAAGGATTAAAGATGGGCTGGGTGGTAGACAAAATCAGTGGCAGAAGAAGACGGAGGTGGGGATATGGGGACTGGATGAGATTTAGACAAGAGGTAGAGCTCGAGGAAGGGTTAACCAGGTTTGAGGCTAGGTCATGCTGTACGTGTATTTTCATGTGGCGGGATAGTAATGTCAAGGTCAGTCAAAAGGGAAAAGCGACACGCTAGTGTCAGTTGTGGGACATGTTGCGAGTCTCAAAGTGTACTGTGATGCAGACCGAACATGCTACTCCCATCACAGGTTGTTCGAGACTTAGTACTCATTCCAGTAGCACAAGGATAAGGCAGAATGTAATATCCAATGTATTTCATAGTGCGCTGAAAACAACAACTAGCACAGCACAGAAAAGCTGAACCATGCTGCATACCAGTCTGATGCCATGCATGGGGAATGGATGATCGAGGGTAGGTGGAAGGATGATCGATGATCACGAGGGCGTTGTCAAAGGCAACAGTTTGCGAGACTAGTGGTCGAACGCAAGAGACGAGAAACACTGGAGGTCGGGCTTTGGAAATTTGAGATGTCGTCGGAAAGGTTTCGAACGGGTTAATCCTCGCTGCCCCCATAGGTCGAGCAATGGAATTTCAAACCAAGATCAGAAAGGGCAAAAGGTATAATTACGAAATTATCTTTCGGCAACAGTTGAGTCGCCGGCCGGTTGCTGCTAGCTAGGATGTCTAGATCTTCTAATCTTAGCGACTGGCTTGGAAAAGCGAAGCCCAAGCCAGAGCGTCCAGCAGAGCGTTGCGAGGCAGACCATGTCCTTAGTGCCTGCTGCAGTCACCCGTCTCCTAGGATAGAGGTCTGGTAGATAGGGCAAGAGGGACACTAGGATGGCGGGGATGGCAGAGGTTTCGAACCTGTGAAAGTTCTCGTAGGGGGCTACCGCTACCCCAACCGCGCTGACCTTCTCGTTCTGTGTAGGAATAATACTACTGAGCCTATATACCCAGTGGGAGTACAGGTTCTGAGGCACGACTGCAACCGCGAAACGACGGACCGGCCAGCTGCTCAACAGTAACCGTGACCCACCGGGAGGGTAGTTTACGGTTGGGGGAGGGCTAGTGGGGGATAGGAAGCTTCAGATCCCAGGTTGGTGGTTTTTAGCATTGTTTTAGCACACTCGAACCCTATACCCCGGCCACTTACCAAGGTACCCGAAACGGCCGTTTCCGAACCGAACAGGATTTGGCGTCTCCTTGCAGAGACGATGCTGGAATAGGCTGGAATACGGTACCGTTTTGTTCCTACTCCCAGCTATGCCATTTGGTACCGTCACTCTCAACGATGGAAATGAGGTATCATATTAATTATGAAAGTTTGCATTACCGTGTCAAGACCTGATATGTTCTGTGCTGCTTCCCAGTTCCCCATAATAGCCTTTGGCACGGGATCCACCATGAAATTCAAGGATGTCACAGACTACGTGGGCCAGGCCATCGAGAATGGATTTTCCCATATCGACACCGCACAGCGTATGTCACTTCTAAGTTCCAATTGCAGCGATTATTGGAATCTCATGTCTCGAAATTTGTTCTGGTATAAGATTATCAGACAGAAACCTACGTGGGCCTTGCTATCAAGGAGAGCGGTCTGCCTCGCTCGAGTCTGTATATCACTACTAAATACAGCTCTGGTGCATCACCGCGGGAGGCTATTCAACAAAGTTTGAACAAGGTTAGGCCTCACATACCACTCGCGAGTTGCTGCAGGGAGTTAATTATATGCTCGCTCAGATGGGTCTTTCTTATGTTGATTTGTATCTGGTGCACTTTCCGGAAGTGCTTTCTGACTTTGAATCTGGGTGGCAAGAATTCGAGAAGATGAAGAAAGATGGCTTGACAAGGTGTGCCCTTTGCGACTCGACTAGTATTCGTTGGTCTTCACAGCTATCAGGAGTATTGGTGTCAGCAACTTTACTCTAGAGGACCTCCAGAAACTCTCGAAGACTGCGGTTACGAAACCTGCTGTCAACCAAGTAAATTTCTCCAGCTGAACTCGTCACTAAATATAACCAACTCGTACAGATTCGATTTCACCCGTATAATTATGCCTCGCACAAAGCTTTGCTTGAGTACTGCTCAAAGCAGAGTATCATGGTGGAAGCATTTGGAAGTTTGAAGTGAGTCCTCATACTACTCCTAATAATTCGTTGCTCCAAACTTGAACAATGCTGATTTCTGCATGACCAGCTCTATTACGCAGAACCCTGGAGGACCGGTCGATGCGGTAGTCAACGCCGCCGCTAAGCGTATAGGAGCAACTCCGAATCAGGTCATTTTCTCCTGGGTCAGAAGTAAAGGTGTAGCAATCGTCACGTATGTCCATCTACTTTTCATGTAATTTTCGTGTCTCATGTCACTTCCATCACTGAAGGACGAGCCGGAGCAAGGAACGCCTTCAAGAGTACCTCGCTGTCGAAGATCTTCGTATGTCTCAAATCATGAAGTGCGACGTCAATTTAATTCAGATCATGAAGCACCACTCACCGCTGAGGAAATCGCTGCCATCGATGACGCCGGTGCTAAAGGCCCTCCCTCCCAGTTGGTTGTTGCGAGGCTTGCGATGCAACACAGATTCGAAAGGTCTTCATCGTTGGTCATGTTGCTGGCTATTGCAATTATATTCAGCTTTGCGACGTTTTTCATTGCGAGAGCCGAAGCACTCGATTGACTGTTTGATGGCTGCATCCTGTCACTTGTGTGCTTGTTTCGCAGCCTCTGGTATATGTCGACAGTTTTCGTGCATGATGATAGTCAGCAGCCGTTGTACTAGTGCTACCCAAGCAACGATGACAACTGTCACGAATTCCAAATACAAACCACTATTCTTTCTTGAACATTCGTGAGACCTCTAAAGACACTCGTAAGACACCCGTTAAGCGCCCAGTACAAGCGCCCGTCGTTAGCGCTCAGCCAGCGTCTGTACCTATGACCTTTAAAACCCTAACACCGAATTCATCCTTTGAATACCCGAACTTCTCTATCCCGTTAGCGCCTACTACTTTTATCTCCGACATCCCCGATTTCGATTTCCTTTCCACAAGCGATCAAGTCACGTGACTCTAGAACCTTCGAGAACCATTGCACAGCTATCACAACACGTTCCATGACATCATAGTGTAGTTATATTTAGATCATCGTACGATTCCCTTTCCTATTTAATGATTGGTTAGTTAGTTCAGATTCAGATTCAGTCTCCGCTTCAATATATGTATATAGGTAGTTCGTTGTAGTCAGTAGTTCTTTAGTTCAAACCTCTTTTGTAATTAGCTTACTGCTAGCAATCCTAAGACGTCCCTGCTCATTATCTTTTCTTCGTTGTGATAACCTCGTTTGAGTCCTAGTCTCTGCCCCAGCGTTAATTCGTTTAAAGGGTTGTGACATTAGGTTTGAACTATAGGGGACTCCGACTCTACGCATTACCGCTTGCACACCTTTATCC